TTTCACAAGAAAAAGAACCTGGGATTGTTAATGTCAGTCCATGGCACTCTTGAACAAGTTGAATAATACCTGTTTGAAAATGTAATTAATATATTAATTTTCACATGAGATACTGAAACAATGAAACTGTATTGTACACCATGGTCTATATGACGAAACACTCCAGTGAATGAGAACTGTCACTTATTGCATGAATAATTATTGGATAAATACAGTATGCCACTTTGTTATAACACACTGCCCTGATAGTGCAATATTCCCTGGTTATAACACCACTCAAATGCCACCCTCAAACATTTCATTGTTTATTCTCAGGACAGATTTCTTCAGATTCACTGATTATAATGCCATTATCAACATCTTTCAGAACAAATGCTCCTATTCTCTGGTGATATTGTTTCTGTTTTGACAAATACAGCAAGGTAGTTCATCTACATCAACAAACTAATTGCATTGATCTCAGATATTCGACATCCCACAGAGAGAATCACTCACTTTTGTGAAAATAAAAATATAATTAGTTTGATATCAGTGATAATATTCTATTCTATAAGTTAAACATTGTACTGTATGCATTCATCAGTAAGGTAGAATAATGCACAAAAAGGCTTTCATGTAAACAATGAGATACAAGTCAGCTTGACCTAGCCCACTACATTGGATCAAAGACAAAAGTACATCTTTGATTGGATATGCTACACTAACAGGAAGAAGGATACTATTGAAGAAGTACGCTATTAATAAGAAGTATACTATTAATAAAGATGCATACTATTAATAAAGAAGTATACTATTAATGAAAAAGTATACCATTAATAAAGAAGTATACCATTAATAAAGAAGTATACTATTAATACAGAAGAATACTATTAACAAAGAAGAATACTATTAACAAAGAAGTATACTATTAACAAAGAAGTATACTATTAATAAAGAAGTACATTATTAATAAAAAGAAAACTATTTATAAAGGAATCTAACATTGGCTTCCCACTTGGGGTGATTGTATAGGCCGAGCTGGCCTAGGTACACATAAATCTCTTTACTGGTGTATGATGAACACAGTCAAGAAGACAAAGATATAAATAAATGACAAGTTCTTTTTATTCTTTATCATGACAGTTCTGAGCTAATTCTTGCACCTTCATCAGGTGAATTCTGAAACCCCTTTATCATGATATTCCTGAGCCAATCAATGCCCCTTCATCAGGTGAATTCTGAAACCCCTTTATCATGACATTCCTGAGCCAATCAATGCCCCTTCATTAGGTGAATTCTGAAACCCCTTTATCATGACATTCCTTAGTCCAATCATTGCCCCTTCATCAGGTGAATTCTGAAACCCCTTTATCATGATATTCCTGAGCCAATCAATGCCCCTTCATTAGGTGAATTCTGAAAACCCCTTTATCATGATATTCCTGAGCCAATCAATGCCCCTTCATCAGGTGAATTCTGAAACCCCTTTATCATGACATTCCTGAGCCAATCAATGCCCCTTCATCAGGTGAATTCTGAAACCCCTTTATCATGACATTCCTGAGCCAATCAATGCCCCTTCATCAGGTGAATTCTGAAACCCCTTTATCATGACATTTCTGAGCCAATTAATGCACCTTCATCAGGTGAATTCTGAAACCAGAGCAGACTTAGCTGTGAAATGTGATAAAGTATAAAAAGAAGTTGTCATCCATAAAACATGTCATACATTCATGTTCAACCAACTTCTATATGCCTGTTAGGAACTAGACAGAGACAGTAACAGAATCAATAACTGAGGCAGTCAAGGAAAGCAAGACAGTAACAGAGGCAGTGAAACAGGTGGTCAAGAGGACATGGTGGCAGTGTCCAGCCTCATCCCCATCACCTGCCTGGACAGCAGATAGTCCACAATGTACAACACATGTCCCTCAAGACCAAGGCAAGGAAACTTCATGGAAGGATACCACAGAGACAGGTTACAATCATGTATTCCTTGACATAGCCAGGATCACTGACGCAGCACAAAACAAACAACATGCCATTTTGTAAATTTCTCTCACCAACCAGAACACACATATTTCATTTCAAAGCTCAAGTTTAATGTTCTCAACACATGATCAACATGAAAAGAAGAATATGAATAAGGAATTTTGGTCGTCTGCTTTGACATTTTTTTCTGAGTTTTACAGATTCTATTTAACCTGCCTTACATCCGATTTTCCATGCACAAGGACAAACATTAATCACTGCATTATATACATATGATATAGTATTTTCACCACAATAAGCCTCCTGCTCCAACAGTGTTCTGATGATGCACTGGCCTCATGGAATTCTCACAATAATACGGACTTCACTCTTCATATACATGTAGATATATGTAGATGGACTTATTTTGTATCATTACGAGAGTCAACAACAGTTTTACTCCACTCGGGGAGCTGCTTCAACTACTGAACGGTATTCTGCAAATGTATTCTGATACATTGTCATATCGTGGCATAAAGATAACTTAGACTGACTGACTGACTGACTGAGTTTGGTTTTACGCCGCTTTAAGCAATATTCCAGCAACATCACGGCGGGGGGACATCAGAAATGGGCTTCACACATTGTACCCATGTGGGGATTCGAACCCGGGTCTTCGGCGTGACGAGCCAACGCTTTAACCATTAGGCTACCGCCCCAGATAACTTAGAAATACTTAGAGAATGTTTAGCATGTTGCTTCTGACAATGACCATTGTGCCAGACAGAGGAAAAGCAGAAAAGCTGAGGGTTGAAATTTTCAATGAACCTGTGCCCTGATCCATTCACAGGGCTATGATAAACTATGGAGTTAAAAACTACAACTAAAAACAAGTTTTAAACTGTATGTGGGTCAGGACCCTGACTTCTTAGCTTCAGTGGCAAAGCGATCAATTTTAAAACCAGTCGGTCAAAAATCTTCCTCTGCACCTGACAGTTCTTATATTTTCATAAAATTGCGATTTTTGCATCAAAAACAGCAGCAGATCATTCACTGACCATTTCATTGCAGTAACTGGGGAAGAGTTCATACCTTTCATCGATCTCCAAAATTCATACAAATCTAACAGCCCCAGATTAATGAAAAAAGGCCAATGAGTTAAAATCTCTCGATGACAAGTAAACATCCCTCCATGGTTGCCGGCATAAACTAAAGACAAACAAGGATAAGTTAGACCGGTGCAGAGAACACATTTACAAGCAGCAGGCGGTGCACGGCAATGAGCAACCCATTTGGTTTGTGAAAGGTAGAACAGATGTAGGCTAGTGCACATGCATTGCATGACGATGAAATTGATTCCGCATGTAGCTGCACACGCCTTGCTCATAAAACTCTCACGTCGGTGTAGCAAGTCGCATTACACTTGATCGTGGACAACCTGGGGACCCTTCACTAACTGACTGACTGACTGAGTTTGGTTTTACGCCGCTTTTAGCAATATTCCAGCAATATCACGGCGGGGGACACCAGAAATGGGCTTCACTCATTGTACCCATGTGGGGATTCAAACCCGGGTCTTCGGCGTGACGAGCCAACGCTTTAACCACTAGACTACCCCACCGCCCCCCTTCACTAACAATGACAAGCGGCACTCGTACATGCTAAGAAGGGGCAATTGTCAGGTCGGTGCTCAACTTATCTTTGTTTGCCAGTAGTATTATTTGAAGGCTACAATCTTAACCTATCCTCAGTGTATTCGTTTTGCTACAACTGGGAACTGAACCTAATTGACAGAAACTGTCAACATGACTAGCTACACTCTTTGACTACTATTTTCTCTCTTTGTTTTTCTTTTTAATTTCTAAAGCTGTCAAATATTCATGTAAATATATCACATTATGTCTTATAAAACAACTGTAACAAAAAGCGACATAACTTGACTAATATCTTTCATAAAGTTATCCACGTGACTGGAACACATGACGATATGGTAAGGATACATCTATAGATACACAAATACGAAATATCTCTACGTGATATAAACATGTGACCTTCATGTCAACTGGCATTGTGGGTAAGGAAGAAATCCAGCACTTTGGCCATGATGACAAAACCTTGTGGTAGGATATGTCTGAATACAATGTATCGCAAGTGAGGGATGTTTCTACACCAACATATATCATTATTTAACAACCCAAATTGGATATTGCAGATACAATGTGTTGCTAGGGTGATATCGCGCAATATATATATTTGATATATATGTTGAGGTGAGATTCTCTACTCATCTAACAAGATGAAGTCAATATCTGACTTGGATGCAAAGGTTTGATAATCACCCCAGTGAAGTAACACCACACACTGAAGCTAACTGTTAAACATTTGGAGTAAGCTCATGAATCACCTGATAAAGTACTGTCAGCGCCGTTCATATTTAGTGAAGCATCTTAGAAGAATACTTAACTTACATAATAATCTGAATCTTTGTTTCTTGTTGAATGAAATGTTCATGACATGTTGTTTGACAAGACATTACAAACATGCTGTATTTGAAGATACGATTTAACATTAGCATTTTAATGAATTGTTAACTAATGATAAAGAAACAAGACGGTTTTATCAAAGTGACAGTGGTTATCTACTGTTGAAACACCAAGTGATTAAGTCTCACTTGATGGAGAAATAGTCTCTATTCACAGAAAGTGAGTATGGTTTTAAGCAGCTTTTAGCAATATTCCAGATGGACACCAGAAATGGGCTTCACATATTGTACCCATGTTGGGTATCAATGATGGCGAGATGAGGCATGATGAGTGAACGCATCAACCACTAGGCTACCCCAATGCCCAATTTTTATTTCGAAAACTACAATGTGTGATATGTTTTTGATTGTGTTTTTAACCAGTATTCATTAAATGTGTGCAGAGTGGGCGCCTATCATCATTATCTTCATCCCAAGGTTCAATTAGATGTCCTCTGTTTTATCTCACACATTCTGTACAAAATGACATAATAACCCCTAGACTCAAAAAGATTGTCAATTCTGTTCCATGTTAAAAATTTAAAATACATATAGTCTGAACATTTCTTGTATGTTCACTCACATTTGGGAGAGAGAGTGAGTGAGTATAACTTTACACCACTTTATTCCACCAATATCAAGGCAGGGTGGGGAGTCAAACAAGGGTCTTCAGTGTGATGAGCAAACGCTTTAACCACTAGGCTACCCAATGCCCCAAAGTTTGGAAGAAGTCAGTATTCAGCTTAATATCTGTTTCAACAGGAACAGGGTTTTGTAGCAAGCATTTCACAAACCTGGAATAAAGATTTTCTGAAACATCTTTTGCTAAGTTATTTTACAGCAAAACCTGATATGGAGGAGAATTTACTCTTTGACTTGATTAAAAATTCCATTCAAATCAGAATATTCATTGTTATTTTTGAGTATTTCTAATTTAAGGATAAAAAATTCATTCAGTAATAAAAAAAGGAGCTTGCATAAATTACCAGTAATGATTTGCATCTGCAAAGACAGCCCAAACTGCTCTTTCAACAATCACATGGTAACAGTGAAACAATCCACCAGATATGCTTGTATTAAATACAATAAGTGAACTATTTAACCTTCACAGCACTGCTACGTCCAGTTGATGGGCAAGGGATGGCCTTCGCTGTTAAACACATAGTCATCAAAAGATATAACTTTCGGATCATCACTAAACAATAAATATAAATATTTTAAAGTTTCTGATAAAAAGAAACTCTCCATTTTATCTTTAAATCCTGGACTGCCCATGTTCTTCACGTTGTTTATGGATGAGTAGCCCCCATCGGGGATCTTGGTGTATTTTTCAAATGCCAGGAAGATCTGCCAGCCCCACTCGCGGTACTTCTTGTCCCCCGTGAGTCGATGCAGATACAGCAGACTCTCCACCGTCTCGGGGCGCAGCAAGTTGTGGGCATCCAGAGGCTGAGGGGAAACAAAGAGTGGAGTCACTTTAGTGGAAATATATTTGTAGTGACCCCCACAGCAGCAAATGATTGAAGTGCTAGAAAAATATAATTTCATGGTGAAATTAAAAAGATCATCATTGGTGGAGTTATCTGCCTTTGTATTACACTGTACATGGCAGGCCTGCTCGTTCATGACGTGTTAGGATGGAACCGTTTCCAGAAGGCAGACAGTACCTATAACTGAGCTATGGTGGGCAATCAAGAGGAAACTGTTCGGACAGACTTGTGTCGGCTGAATGCACACCGGATTTCCTATTTGTACAGAACCAATTCCTGCAGCTTCATTCACTTTCAGAATTCAAGAAGAGAAACAAGCAGGACATTCGACAGTGACATTCGAATTCTGGACACAATACACATGCACATAATATTGTGCCTGTAACTGATGGCTGCTGTTGTCTCTACCCATTATATTTGTGTTTTGTGTAATAATAACCTTAAACTGAGTCTTTAAAAAGAATTTTCCATTATTCATTTCTTGTGATCAAATTCAGTTATGTACAGACCACTTTCTGGATTAATGTCATCATCACCTCGTAACAGGGAAAAGAGACCATACAGACATCCTTACAGGTGGATGTTTTAGTTGCTTTGCAACTCAATGAGATCAGAATGAGATTCTCTCATGTGCTCTTCTTTCTTGCTCAGTGTCACATTGAGATCAGAATGAGATCGTTCTGTGTCCCTGAACATACTTACTGCCAAGTTTCTCCTTGCTTGTAAGGAGCACAATCTCTGCACTTGAACATAGCTGATGTAATTCAAAAGTAACATTGTTTTTTGTTGTTTCAACAAACCCCAATTGTGTCACTGGACAGTATCAGAGTGATGGGGCAACGAACACTTTGTTTATGCAGATTGTGTGAATGTCTACTTGTTGAGCAGGATATGCATCCCTGTTTCACAAACACTTCATACTCTCACTGATTTCCAGTGGTTCAGGGCGGTGGGATAGCCTAGTGGTTAAAGCGTTGGCTCGTCACGCCGAAGACCCGGGTTCGAATCCCCACATGGGTACAATGTGTGAAGCCCATTTCTGGTGTCCCCCGCCGTGATGTTGCTGGAATATTGCTAAAAGCGGCGTAAAACCAAACTCAGTCAGTCAGTCCAGTGGTTCATTTGGATAATTTGTTTGACCATTTAGCCTTTTAACATCCAGTTGACTCTATTTTGGTACATATTTGGACATTGACATTCATAATTACCTTGACAATGAGATCCTCCTGTGCCCCCGGTGCCATGTTAAAGTAGGTGATCTCAGGGCTGAGTTTGGTGGGCATCTTGTTGTATGTCTGGTAACATGTGTGCGTCAGCTCCTTGGCGAAGTCCATGTGATCCTCCCCTAGTCCATAATAGCTGCCCAGTGCCAGGGTCCCGCCCAGGAAACACACCAGGTGGTCCTAGCAACACCAGCCCAAGCTGTACTTTATACAAGGTTCAAGGTCTCACACAGACATGTTTCCTGTCGTCTGGCATACAGCATGTTGAGAAGACTCTCAACTACATATTAACCCCTTGAACCGTGCCAGAGCATACACTCCATGAAAACTAAGCCCTAAATTTCAAATACACTGCATCTCCTAAGGACACCAATATCAACATGGACTAGAATGCAATATGTGTATAAAAGTGCTTCTTAAATACATGTTGATGTCTTTCATTCTATTGTCACTGGATGTCTGGTCCAGCCTCGATTATTTACAGACCGCACCATATAGCTGGAATATTGCAGAGTGTGGCGTAAAACTAAACTCACTCACTCAAATATTCCTTAAGCTACCCATCCATTATGATCCATTTATGAGCTATACCATCCAAATATGACCCATCTGTCTATTACCAATCAAATACTACCCATCCATGAGCTTCAAAATAATTTACAACCCATCCATTGCTAACCATCTGTGAGGTAACCAACCAAAGACTATCCATCAATAAACTATCCCCAAACTATTCATCTCTGTGCCTCCCATTAACCATCCCAGAACTTACCATCTTTGGGCTGAAGGAGCGCCCACTGAGGAGCTCTCCCACAAACAGGAGCTTGCTGGGCTCCGACCTTCGCACTAACTTCTCTTTCATTCCAGCAATAGCCTCTACGTAGTCATCCTTAAAGCTGAAACAAGGACAGTGTATACTGTCACTATCCCACTGTTAGATTTCTGTTTTTTTAGATATAACATGTTTTCCAGCACGATGTCGTACAGATGGAGACAACCCTGATTTTCTTAACACTAAGGGACCATTCATAATTTATGGCTAGTGGGGGTGATGATGATTTTTAAAAAGGGGGGGTGGGGGTGGGGAAAGCAATTTTGTACATAGATATTATTAAAAATTATGCTTAAAAATCATGGGAGGGGAGGGGGCGTAATTGATTTTGTACATGACATGCAGGAGGGGTCACTTACTTTGTACATAAATTTTATGGGGGGTCATTCACATTGTACATGCTTCTCCATAAAAATCATCATCACCCCCTAGCCATAAATTATGAACGGTCCCTAAAAATATTCAGGTACTTTAGAACATAAGAAAGGTAAAATTACAGTGCATGACAGAAGTATATTGTCCTTTAACCCAAAGTTGGGGAGCAGTGACATCAAGGTATTTCCAGGCCCATGATGCCTATCTGATATATTTGTCAAAGGTTTGGTTGTGTTTAAGATGCCAAGCCCAAGGCAGTGAACTGAACAAGTAATAATTATATGTGAATAACGGATAGCAACAAAAGACTTCAAACCCAAATACACACAACCTACAACACACAATTCTTTGGCATGTCAAGTTTAGAACTCCCCATGTAATATTATTAATGACAAACTGACTTGGTACAACAAGTTATCTGTATGGATTAAACTTCTTTGTAATTTCTCTCATGGCGTTTGAGACCATTCCAGGTCCTTCATCAGGTGAACTATCAGTTCACCTGATGAAGGGACCTGGAATGGTCTCAAACGTCGTGAGAGAAATTACAAAGAAGTTTAATCCATAAAAATATCTTGGACATCAATGTACAACTTCTAACTGCCACTGAAAGACATCAAGTTATCTGTAGTTCTACATCGGGGAGACAATTGTATTTCTTACACATCCAGCTTCTTGCCGCTCTGTATCCATTGTTTAAGTAGGTATTCATAGTAGCTGTCACCACGTGCCCCCACCGTGATGGTGCCAGACTGGCGGAAGTTGCCACTCTGAGCATTGATGAAGATTGGAACCAAACCACTGGTCTTAGGCAGGCTGTGTACATGCATGGACACCTCGTGTACAATGTCCTGGAACACAGACGATCAGCAACAGTGTCATACAGTGTCATACAGTGTCATCATCAGTCATAGCTATGCGAGAAATGATCAACCAAAGTCATGGGGCTCTTGTTATAACTCTTACATTACAAGTGTACAAAATACTAAAGCAGAAAATATCAAGGATCCTGAAACTCCTTTAAATTTCTGACACAACAAACTTTCAGAAACCAGATGACATTTTTCTTTTATTTAATGCAGACTTACACATACAGCTGAAGAAGTGGTTTAAAGAAATCTAAGTAACAAAGATATTGATCTAACAAAACAAATGAGGTTTGAAATCAGTACAGTTGCATTCATTTAACAACTAATAAGAATCACATCTCATCATTGGTTGCATTTCACACTCTACCAATCAGATTGCAGGACACATTCACCCTGTTTTACTCAACCAAACAGACTGCAGGGCTCACATCTCTGTCAAACAGTCAAACGTTGCTTGCATTTTACACACAACCAACCAATCGGATTGCACCACTCACATTTCTTTTAAACAGTCAAACGTTGGTAGCATTTCACATTCCACCAATCAGATTGCAGGACACATTCACCCTGCTTTATTCAACCAATCAGACTGCAGCAAACACTACATTACAACTATGCTCCAGTGTGTATTACCTCGAACTTCTTCTCCCCTGAGATGCGACTGAGGTCCCTGAACTCCAGCTGTATGGTAGTGACCTCCGATGTGCTGCTGTCCGGACCCCAGCGGGGGGCGTGTGCTCGTCCTGATGCCAGGTTCACGTCAGAATACGGAACCTTCGACCCCGTGTTGAAACATGGCATGAGGCGGTTGCCAAGGTCAATCTGACAGTGGAACACATAACATATTCTGTCATTCATTACAAAGAATATAACTTCTACCTTTACAATCACTGGGACGCATTAATACAGGGATTACTTTCCTGCCTCAGAGATGAATTTTATGTTGCCTTAGTGAGTGAATCAGTCAGTTTTATGCCGCTTTTCACAATATTCTATCAGAGGTACAGATAAGCTGCGTATCTGCGTAAATTACGCAAATACTTATGTGAATACTCAATTCCTATCAAGTCTATTGCGTACAAGTACGCTTGAATTTTTGTAAATACTCAATTAATTTGATCTTACATGAGTACACACAAATGTCAAATCTTAGCTTGCGTACCAGTAGATAGATAAAATAACTGAGAAGTATTGAGAGTTTCTATTTCAGCACATGAACTTGGAAACTTGCAGTCTTTTTTATCGTTTCTCTTATTACAGATCAACTATATATATATACAAACACAAACAAACACGTTAACCAACACCAACAAAATTTAAATATATTTTTACAAGTAATGGAAAATGACAAAATATCCAATTAAGTTTGAGTGAAGTGTGTAATATTTATATGGTTAATCAAAGGAAAATTAGGATTCCCAATTTAGATTAACACAAGAGAGTACATAACTCAATGACCCAAAAAGTTATCTGTAGCTCTGTTCTATCAATTATCAGGGTGGAGGGACAACAGAAATGGGGTTCACACTTTGTACCCTTGTAGGGAATCAAACTCTGGCCTTCAGCATGACTAATGAACGCTGACCCAGTAGGCCACCCATCCGCCCCTTATAGTGTGTTAGACTAGTGATTAGTCTCTGAATATATATAATCTGGATAGAAACAAACAATTCCTCTTAAACTGAACAGGAGCCCAAGTGAGCCTGAACCTGAGGAAATCTAGATTACCTTCGTTTAGGGCTTTAGCTTTGCAGAAAGGGACAATAATGTTGTTCAGGGACTCTGAGACATACAGTAGAAACCTGATAAGTAAAATTTCAAGGGACTCGCCAAAATTGTTTACTTATCAGGTATTTTACTTATCCAAACTTATCAAAACCTGCAAATGACAACCTTATGCATGTATATGTATAAAGCAGAATAACAGAGAACATTTGTGAGTACAGTTGTCAGTGTGTTGTCCACTGCATGACGCCAGCGAGCTGCAGGTAGGATGTTTGTTTAGCTGGTGACTGACACGTGCCCCTCATGTCGGATTATGTGGTGATCGCTAATTTAGTTATCTGGTCTCTTTTGTTAAGTAATTTACTTCCAGGGACCACGAGAAGACGTTTAGTTAAGCAGTATTGTTTACTTATCCGAGTTTAGTTAACCGGACTCTAATAGTGATAATTAATGAAGAAATTTGCCGGGACCAAAGAAAAGTGTTTACTTATCAGGTCTGTTTAGTTAAGCGGTCTTTACTTAGGAGATTTTCACTGTACTAATGATGTAAGTGTGTGAGCAAATTAACTGGGTATATGTTTTTCAATTTATCAATTAATGATGGGTGATTATTGAGGTGAATACATAAAACGTTATTTGTTATTACTGAACCCGGCTGACACACCAGCTGAGAGTGAGAGAGTGAGTTTAGTTTTATGCCACTTTTAGCAATATTTCAGCAATAACACAGCAGAGGACACCAGAAATGGGCTTCACACACTAAACCCATGTGGGGAATCAAACCTGGGTCTTCGGCATGACGAGCGAACACTTTAACCACTAGGCTACCCCACCATCCACACCAGCTGAGAAGTCAGGCCAGAAGCAGAGAAGGGACGAGTATGTAGTTGCAGAGATCTTACCGCTTTCTCCTTGAAGATGTCTTCCCCTGACAGATGGTAGGCACTGAGCAAGCTGCCCAGGATGCGAATGGTGATCTCGAACAAGTTGGCGTCTCGGTTCACGTTGAAGTTCAGGTTCGTCTTAACCCACTCCTTTGCTTCATCAAACTCTGTCAGGACAAAACAGAGTTTCAAATCCTCCACTTGGGAACAGTGTACACCCTTAATTGAGTGAGTGAGTGAGTGGGTGGGTGGGTGATTGAGTGGGTGGGTGAGCGAGAGAGTGAGGTTTTATGCCGCTTTTTGCAACATTCCATCAATATCACGGCAGGGGACACCAGAAAAGGGTTTGACACACTGTACCTATGTGGGGAATCAAACCTGTGTTCCCAGCGTGATGAGAGAACGTTTTAACCACTAGGCTTCCCCACTACCCTGTACACCCTAGTTGAAAAAACTTTAATGTGCTGTTCAAAAGAAATTAGAATGATTGCTTTGAATAAGCTTAATTACTGTTTTCCAAAATAAATGCAGATAGGAGGCAATTTTGGGAATAAATAGTTAGCACACTCAAAATTTGAATTTTAAAACCTGGTGTCAAGTGAGTCAACCACTTACCTTTTTTCAGACCCCTGGTGTCAAGTGAGTCAACCACTCACCTTGTCTCAGATCCGAGGTGTCCAGTGAGTCAACCACTCACCTTCTCTCAGAGCCCTGGTGTCAAGTGAGACTCACCTTGTCTCAGACCCCTGGTGTCAAGTGAGTCAACCACTCACCTTCTCTCAGAGCCCTGGTGTCAAGTGAGTCAACCACTCACCTTCTCTCAGACCCCTGGTGTCAAGTGAGTCAACCACTCACCTTCTCTCAGACCCCTGGTGTCAAGTGAGTCAACCACTCACCTTCTCTCACAGACACCCTGAGTCAATAGCTCACCTTCTCTCAGAGCCCTGGCGTCAAGTGAGTCAACCACTAACCTTCTCTCACAGACACCAGGTATAAAGTGAGTCAATAGCTCACCTTACCTCAGACACCTGCTGTCAAGTGAGTCAACCACTCACCTTCTTTCAGACCCCTGGTGTCAACCACTCACCTTATCTCAGACCCCTGGTGTCATGTGAGTCAACAACTAACCTTGTCTCAGACCCCTGGTGTCGAGTGAGTCAACCACTCACCTTCTCTCAGCCCCATGATGGCCATGGTGTCCAGTGAGTCAACCAGAGTGAGTCCCACCCCGAACCACTCAGAGTGAGTTTTACTGATAGGGTGCAGCTCATCATGACCCCACGAGTGCTTCTTGTAGGCTTTCCAGGCATGACGGAACGCCGCCACCACGGCCTTCTGCTTGTCTGTCTGGTGCTTAGCAGCTGCAGAGGAATTCATCAAGCATTAAATTCAGCATAGACAGGTCATCTTTTCAGCTCACAAGAAAACACAAAGACAGTGAAACATAATTGCCATTGCTGTCGACGTCTGCCAAGGTCTTATGTTTATGATATCTGCATTGAGGACAGCTGCAAATGATGAAATGCCACGTTCTGAATTTTTTTCTCAAATTATAACCGACATCCTACGAATGACTTGATCTGTTTTTAGCAATTGTTGTCCAGTTCTCATAAAACAGTACTGATGGTTCTGAAAGTCCTGTGACAACTGTCCAGATAAGAGGAAGTTTCCTTTTGCATGGATGTCATATGATCTTAACAGTTCTGTCTATGTTTGGCTGTTAAGATATATATCCTCAATCCTCATTTCTAGAAATAGTTAGATTAGAATCTTATAATTAACATAGTTCTCTCCTAGAACAAACAACAGTGAATTACATCAAACATGTATTGTTATATTGCCCAGGGACAGGATCACTACCAAATCTACTTGTGTGTTAGTATCCATACACGCAGCACCAGGCTGGGTCAGCTTGGTGTTTTATCATCCAAAACTGTGTTCCACAGGAGATATTGCTTGTGTGAGATCAAACGATATCTCCTAGGAGATATCGTTTTGACAGTAGATTTTGTACAATGCCCTGACAATGCTATGACATCATGAACTTGATGATGTCACAATGCTATGACATCGCTGCACTGCAAGTCTAATGGCAGTACTGTGTTCAGAGATGTATATTTTTCATTGAAAACTAATGAAGAGTGATTTTGGATGATAAATAGAATCTCTTCCTTGTGTCTTCTGATATCAAATATATCAACACTCGCTGATAAAAGTTAAAATATCCTCGGTAAGCCTCGGATATTTGTAACTTTATCAACTCGTGTTGATATAATTGGTATCAGAAGACACTTGGGAGAGATTGTCTATGTATCTCCACATCACAACTACACACTGTAGATGCCACCCACCCGGAGACAGCTGGATCCTGTGATCTCTACTGCCTGTTACAGTGAGTGAGTTAATGTTTCATGGCATTCAGTAGATTTCAGTGTTACGAACCATAATTACCCTTTAGATACGTTAAAGAACTTTTCATTGGTTGATGGCCAAAGCATATGATTTGGTAGTTTTACAGGTAGTATGACTTCATTTTTAACCAGTTCCAACAAGTAGTATGGACGTTCGTGACACTTTGCCACCTGTGACACTGAAATCCAACTCACTTGTAGAATATCACGATCAGTTCTATTTATCAACTTTTTTTGGGAGAAAATGCTATTTTTCATGTATGAAGTGAAAAAGATATATCCCAAACGGTGCTATTATTTGAAATAACAAGTTCCTTAAAACATAGTATAAGCCATTAACAGAGTTATGTCCCTTTGAATATCGATTGATAAGGTTTGCCTGTGTGTCCACATTATGACATTTACTAGAATTTGGCTCCTGAAAATTTTAAAAGGTAACATACTTGTTACACTGCCAATTGCTATCGGCCTCAGAAAACATGGATTCAAAACAGGTCGTAGCAAATACTACCTGGCAAATAGCCATGCAAATGATAGTGTCAGGTGTACTAGACCAAACAGAACCATGGTTTGGACTGGTGACTATAGAGGTCATAGCATACCCTCAAATAAGTCATATCTTGCTGCCTTGGCTGCTGGCTCTTTAGCATCATTCTCATGCTCGTCTACTGGGGGAATCTGAAATACACCAGTCTTACATACAGAACTCAAGACAGCTGCGTAACTGAGTAAAATATACAAATTAATCACCATTACCCAATAAAAAATGGACTGTTACCTACAAGTAATTAAAAAATATACTCGTGAACCATATGAAAACCCCAATAAAACAACAGCATTGTGTGTGAATACACAATGTAGCCTTTCTGCTTGCTCGACTGTAGTTCATTATCAAATGCAGGCATCAAGTTTACTGCATAGTTTACTGCACAAGTTGCTGCATAGGATAATGCACATGCTGTAATCTGACAAATTTGGTTATTATTGGTTCAAAAGTGCCTAATAATAACTGAGATCTGAAACAAGTGAGCAGACACACCACTGGGAGGTGAAGGTCAAGTAAAACATCGTGTGCATGTATGCTCTATAATTCTGCACTCAGCAATCTTCCAGCAGTATGAGTGAGTGAGTGAGTTGAGTTTTAAGCCCGCTTTTACCAATATTCCAGCAATATCACAGTGGGGTACACCAGATATGGGCTTCACACATTGTACCCATGTGGGGAATCGAACCCGGTTCTTTGGCGTGACGAGCAAACGCTTTAACCACTAGGCTACCCTACCGCCCCCCCAGCAGTATGACGTCAACATTTAAATATTTAAATCATGACATCATGGCATGTTGACATGGCAACAACCAAATCACTGAGTCTGACTACTGTATCGATTAAGTTGCCTCATATGCTCAGTATTGGTTACAAAGGACATATCCATTGACAAACCATGAAAAATAGTAAATGCTGGTTCTGGTTTCATAAGTTTAATTCATAGGTTCAGGTATCAAATACAGCTGCATGGCATCAAGGTGTCACACACACCCTCACTCAAGAGCACATGTTGTACAGCTCACATCAGATACAAAAGTCGGATTCAAGGGTGGAAGGTTCTATTCCCTACAGTTACTGGGTGGATTATGAAAGGGTATCATGGAGCGGAATCGGATTCACAAATTACTTCTCTTTAATAAACCAGCACACACTTGTACCATGATGTACCAGAATACATGTGTGAATCTTATTCTGCTCACTTTTGTCCATAAGCAATAAGTTCAATGTGTACATAGTAGTCATGTGAAGGGAAATTTATCTTTTATTGCCCACAATTTTCACTTCGACATTGATATATCAGTTTTCGATACTATAATTCCTTTCAATCACAAATCACAAATTCATCCACTTCTTAGCCGTAAACAAGTAAGTAAGAACACACTGATATATGTTGGATTGGTCAAAGTCATGAAACGTCATTCTTTTAACTTGTTACAACTAGTTTATCAAAACTGACTATTATTTTAGACCATGTGTAATATGTCAGGCAAGGCAAGGAGAATATTCCAACAGTTTGTTTATCACTGGTTTCAGAGTTTGACCAGGTGGTAGTAATGCAGCAGTGACTCACAATTTGTTCTGCCGCCTTCTTGTCATCCTCGTCAGGGATTGGCTGCTGGAGGACGTCCTGACCCTCCTGCTTGTCCCCTGCATCTGGAGGGATTGGCGCGCCTCCAGACCAGGGGGTTCTTTTGGCTGGATGTCTGCCTTCACCTGTGCCTGTAAAAGAGAAAGAGCATAATCAGCACTAGACACCTTCATCTGCACAACACCCTAGGAGCACTAGCATTAGACACATTCTTCAAAACAATTCCCCCAGAACACAAGCACTAGACACATTCCCGAACACAACTCCTGCAAGGAAAATTAGCACTGGCCACTGTCATCTACCTAAACTACTCAAGTCCTATAGAAAACAGTAGCACTACCTTTGCTCACACACCAATACGGTCCCAATTAAGAGCCTGGGCCCCGTAACTTTCCTCGTAGCATTCGTACCTCCTATACTGTAACATAGGAGGTATGACGCTACGAGAAAAGTTACGAGAACTTAGGCTTACGAGAGCTTCGTGAAACGGGGCACTGGTCCCTAAATAAATGCTGTGATTGAGTGAGTGAGTGAGCTCATTGGACCATTAAAGAAGAAATGGTTCTGTAGTCCTAGGATTTTGACACACAGAGTTTAAAAGATAAATCTCCTAGTCTGTGATAAATAAACATCAAGGGGGACTACTAACAAAACAAAACTTCAACTTGCGCACTGACATTTCTATAACATTAGCCTGATTAGGTAGACATCGTCTCCTTATCAGTGTTTAAATGTAGACTAGTGAAAATGCCAAAATAACTTCTAACCCTCACACTGGTAGATCATTTCACAAGTAATGGCTCCCTTGATGCTCATGATGTGTATGCATGCATTGTTTATTGCCATGTGAGTGAGTGAGTGAGTTTAGTTTTACGCCACACTCAGCAATATTCCACCTCTATGGTGGCGGTCTGTTAATAATCGAGTATGGACCAGACAATCCAGTGATCAACAGCATGAGTATCAATCTGCGCAAATGGGAACTGATGACATGCGTCAACCAAGTCAGCGAACCTGACCCCCGATCCCGTTAGTCACCTCTTACGACAAGCATGGGTTACTGAAGACCAATATTCTAACCCGGATCTACACGGGTATTATTGCCATGTATCTAACCATACACAACTCATATCCTGGAACATATGGATACACTGGGGAACACTGCAGCCTTCCCTGTATATCACCATTGATCACAGGGTCTTATGGGAGACACAGTACAGTGTCCTGCACACAGAACATGAATGCACTCACATAAGAATTAAGATGCACTTCACGCTGGAAAGTAGTATGTCTCCCTGACCCGAGAGAATAAATTAAAAAAGGACTCCGGCGTGACCAGACAAGCCTAGACTGCTTCAGCTCCAGAAATAAGCATTGGTGTGAGATGCATTTGGATTTTATTATTTTTATTTTGTAGCCTATTACAGGACTAATGTCAGTGTAAGTTGCAGGGACACAGAGGCACATGGTTATGAATTAATTCAGTTGTGACATGGACATTAAAATCACTGATAGTTCTATCATTGCCTGTGCCAATAAGAAATAAAAGCCAGAGTGCCCATTTCTGACTTTCTGCACTAAAAGTTTCATTTCAAAACAAGGAAAGATTCCTATCTCAGACAATGCCATTATCATGACACAATACACCTCCTGAATCAAGTGTAGTACAGCACCGTTCGAAATACCTGCCTGCCAGACCACCAGGCACAGGTTATTTTCAACATGAACTGCCAGATTCTCAAATTCAATGGTTGTGTTCAAATTTACACATGTATATGAAGATATTTTGTGGGCAGGTAAGTTTTGGTCTGGGCTGGCAAGTTTTACATCTAACCAGCCCTGTGGTCTGGCTGAAATGTTTGGGAGTTTCATACCCTGAGTAAAGTGATTAACATAGGGCTCATATAACCCTGGGCCCTCAAATTAGTCCTGAGAGTCCCTTGGACTCAGGAACAGATAAAACGGGTAATGTTCCAGCCAGCAACTAACACATTTGTAGATAATGATAATTTTCACAAAACCAAGTTTTGAAATCAACATAAGTCTTCTTTCACATAAAGAGTTATAATAAGAGATAGTAATGCCATTTCCTAGCAGAACTTCACTTTTGACACTAGGTAGATGACAATTCAGAGCCGATTTTTTCACAAAAGTAAAAACAGACAATAATTTTTAACCACTGGAACCAAGACATACTGGAGTGAAAAAGGTCATACACAATGGTCAACAGCCACTGGATACACCTATTTCACAGTATATGTGATAGATCAATTCTATGGTCAAAATGCTGTTCACAGATTGAGTTGGGAAGTAGGGAAACATGAATAATTAATCAGAGCTGATTTAACACGAACTATTCAACACAATTTATGAATATCACATTAAATCCCACACAAGTAGCACAGGCACACTACCATCTGGGGACACGATGACAGATCAATAAAATATATCACAAGGACAAAAAATTATATTGATTTATTCACCAGAAAAGGCCTTTGAAGCCATTGTTTTCCATAGTGAATAATTTTATCATTTGCATTATTATCAAATCCTTTTATATGTTTTACGGGGCAACTGGAGGAGAGCTTGCAGTGAGAAACAGCCACAAGGTGTATGTTCACATGGTATGCTGTTACACTCTACAATGTTTACCGAGGTATATCGTAACAGACACCAGTTGTAATTATAGATATACCAATGTTTGTTTAATGGCCTACTCAGCAATATTCCAGCTTTATGACAGCAGTCTGTACATCATCAAGACTGGAACAGACAATCCACAGAAACATATTACAAGCAATAAATCAAACTGCCACTGTTTACCATCACCCAACCAACTAAGTCAGTGTGTCTGACCACCCGACCCCATCAGTCACGTACGACAAGCCTGGGTGTACCCCAGATCTACATGGGGAGGTTGTATAAGTGATGAGTGTGTGAGTGAGTTTAGTTTAACGCCGCACCCAGCAATATTCCAGCTATATGGCGTTGGTCTGTAAATAATCGAGTCTGGACCAGAAAATCCAGTGATCAACAGCATGAGCATTGATCTGCACAATTGGGAACCGATGACATGTGTCAACCAAGCCAGCGAGCCTGACCACCCGATCCTGTTAGTTGCCTCTTACGACAAGCATGGGTTACTGGAGGCTCATTCTAACCCGGATCTTCACGTGTAACTAAGTCAGTGTGTCTGACCACCCGATCCCATGAGTCACGAACAACAAGCCTGGGTGTACCCCAGATCTACATGGGGAGGTTGTATAGACGACATTCCGCCACTACATAACACTCACAGAAGGAAGCTGGAATATCTTTGGCCACAACAAACTGATTTTATGTTCATCAGTATCACGGCCTCTTTTTTTCTAAAACAAAATAGATGTTGGTAGGAAAATGGTATTTTTATACTGAAGAAGAAATTACACATCTTAAAACACATGACGACAAAACTGAAATGAAAAAACTGGTCTCTTCTGAAATGTTGAAACTGAAACTGACATTTTACTGAACAAGCCACATGTAAATGATGTCCCCTGAAGCCTGTTCATACATACTATAAGCTGTACCCATGAAATGTCCATGGCACGCTAGTTGGCAGATCTGGTAGATGTAAATCCACATTTTTAACTTGTGAGGAGAGTGTAACCCTTTTATGTCTATTTCTACAGATTTCATAAACCTAATCAAGACAAGCGTGTACATTAAACATTTTACATGTAGATCTAAAGGACATGGTAAAGCACTGGAGCTTGACTTGTGACCTGTCTTAACATAAGTTCAGTAAGGAAGGAACACATGCTTTCTGTCTGGTGTTTGGTTGTGGGGTTGAGTTGGTCAGGTGAAACAAGGATTAACATTCAAGTGATTGCATTAAGGCCAAATATAAAAAATGTTGTGGTTCCGATGACTTTAAAATTTAGGGTAGGTAGGTAGGATTTTTTTTAGCATTTTTTTTAGAAGTAAAGTACAAACTAACACCACATTTATCAATATATAATTGTTTATTCAATCAAGGTTTCGGCCATCATGTCGCCTTTCTCTATCAGAATGACTGATGTCCGCCGGTGCCGGGTAAAAACAATGGTATCTAAAAGCTTATTTCATTCATACCTCTTAAAAAAATTAGGGTCGGCACCAGAATTCAAGGGTCGGTCAGGTAATCAAATGGTAACTGGAACTACAACATATTGTTTTTAGGCCAAAAGATTATTGCATTAATCATGTTAACATCATGAATATCGCAATGTGTGCATGACATGTGTTTACCAGCTGAGACTGATGTAGGTTATAGTGTTACCCCACCGAGATGCCATACTGCAGGGTAACCCTGATTCCCAGTCAGACATACACAGTATACAGACTTGACCCAACCACTTCCTGTTTCATCCCCTTAATGCCAAGAGCCAGGGTAACAACAAGTACAATCTTTTAGTTCCAGCAATATTACAGCAAGTGACAATGATTTAATTCTGCTCTTAGCAATTTTCCAGCAATACTACAGCAAGTGACAATGATTTAATTCTGCTCTTAGCAATTTTCCAGCAATATTACAGCAAGTGAAAATGATTTAATTCTGCTCTTAGCAATTTTTCAGCAATATTAGAGCAACTGACTATGATTTAATTCTGCTCTTAACAATTTCCCAGCAATATTACAGCAACTGACTATGATTTAACTCTGCTTTTAACAATTTCCCAGCAATATTACAGCAATGATTTAATTCTGCTCTTAGCAAAGCAATATTGACAACTGACTATGATTTAATTCTGCTCTTAGCAATTTTCCAGCAATATTACAGCAAGTGACAATGATTTAATTCTGCTCTTAGCAATTTTCCAGCAATATTACAGCAAGTGACTATGATTTAATTCTGCTCTTAGCAATTTTCCAGCAATATTACAGCAAGTGACAATGATTTAATTCTGCTCTTAGCAATTTTCCAGCAATATTACAGCAAGTGACTGACTTAATGATTTAATTCTGCTTTTAGCAATTTTCCAGCAATATTACAGCAAGTGACAATGATTTAATTCTGCTCTTAGCAATTTTTCCAGCAATATTACAGCAAGTGACAATGATTACAGCAAGTGACTCTGATTTAATTCTGCTCTTAGCAATTTTTCAGCAATATTAGAGCAACTGACTATGATTTAATTCTGCTTTTAACAATTTCCCAGCAATATTACAGCAAGTAACTATGATTTACCTCTGCTTTTAAATTTTTTTCCAACAATATTACAGCAGAGGGCACCAAAAGCACCAGCATGTGAGTGTCACTTTACTTACCACTGCTTACACTGTGCAGTAGGCGGCAGATCATATTTCAAACATGTTGAGTTTTTACTAATATGTATTCACTCTCACTTGGCATGTCGAGTATTGATATTTTCCAATCTATATGTAGGAACTCTCTTGGTCCAGCCTGGACATCATTCATAAACCCATAAGCAGACATTTTATACACATTACTCTGCTTTCGATGCAGTGTCAGGTGACTACTTATGTGCATCTGCTCACGAGAGCAGCCGTTCAAGTGGGTTACAACTGTACCTGGCAGGGTAGTTTAGGTTCTTCATATGCTTAGAGTTTGCAGTTCATATTGCACCGATTTCTAAAGTTGAACAAACTGACTTTGTGCTTTGTTTGTCCTCAAACTCACACCAGACCATATTCTACTTTACCATGTTTACTGGTCTTCATGGAAATACAACACTGACAAGCTCCATGCAGGCTTGACAATGGCACAAGAATTTGTACCAAAACATCGCTCCCACAAATAAAAGAATTTGTTATAACGCCTTGTGGCTGCAAGAGTTGTATGATCCCCAGGGAGCTGAGATTGATAACAAGTATGTGCTGTTGAGATTGACATCCAATAACCAAGGGAAAAAAATACCAGCGCCTTGAGAATGCAATAATAATCCATTAAGTTTGTCAATATTGTACTTACAAACATCTAATTTAGCACTCAAAAAAAACCCATTGAAAACCAGACATTGACACGTAGACCAGTGCTTGTGCTGAGAACGGATTTAATGACATTTCCTAACACAATATGAATGAGGTGAGGTGAAATTTGGTTTAAAGTCACGCTGGAGAATATTTCGCTCATATGTGCATGTGTGTGTATGTGTAGGTGCGACTGCTTGTACTAGCCCAGACTGAAGCTGAATGTTGTTTTAGTCAATTGGAAATCTGTACCCACTTAAAATATGGCATTAGGATTTATTTCCAACATTGAGGTTTTGAAATGGTCCCTGAGGAAATACAGACACAGAAGCTGAACAAGCTACAAGTGTACTTATGTAGAGTACTGGTATAGTATGGCAATAGCTTACATTGTTTCAATGTCTCATACTGATAAGGGTAATAATGACATATTTGGCGCACACACGCATGCACACACACACGCATGCACGCACGCACACACACACACACACACGCATTCACACACGGACACACACGCATTCACAGTCGGACAGTGTTTGGTCTTATTCCACTTGTAGCAATATTCCAGCAATATCATGGTGGGGGACACCAGAAATGGGCTTCAAACATTGTACCCATGTGGGGAATTGAACCCGGGTCTTAAGCAGACACCTTAACCACTAGCCTACTCACCACCCCCACAGTCGGACAGAATCAATACAGTTATAGATTCTTTGTGACTGTCATCCTGAACATGCTAACATCTGACAGCTGACATCTGTCTTTCAGTATGTTCACATACACCTGATCAATACTTTATAACTTCACACAAAGACTGAGGCATCGCATTATCTTAGTTTAATTTTAAAACTGAAAACACTGGATAGCACAGGATTTTGTCTACTGATGAATAAGTTATTATTATTATTATTGGATATATATATAGCGCACATATCCACGTACTAGTGCATGCTCAAGGTGCTGGTATTTTTCCCTCGATCATTGGATGTCAATCTCAACGGCACATCTCATTATCAATCTCAACTCCCTGGGGATCATACAGCTCTTGTTGCCACAAGGCGCACCGAGGTTATTGCGGCTTTCCCGTCCTTATAAGGTACCCATTCACAGCTGGGTGGACTGGGACACATAGTCACAGTACTTTGTCCAAGTTTACTGCACGTTGCTGTACCCGCAACTGGGTGTTTGCACGTATTCATGTGGCCGCCATGTGGTCACATATCAATGGATTTGTGGGTTTTTTAAAGTGCACAGGGTTGTGTACTGTACACTAGGGGTTGTGACAACACTGAAAGAGTCTGCAAAGTCAAGTTGACTCCAGGGTTTTAGCACCGGTCACAGGTGGGATCACTAGCCTGGCGCCTTAGCCAGCTCGCCCATCATGCCCCCTAAGTTAGTTGCACTACAAACAGTATATCACAACTATTTTGATATATTACACAATATAATGTACATATCAGTGTGTGAGTTTAGTTTTATGCTGTTTTTAGCAATATTCCAGCAATCTCACGGCTGGGGACACCTGAAATGTCCTTCCACACATTGTGATTTGTACTCATGTAGGAAATCATACCCAGGTTTTGGGCGTGACGAACTCTATAACCACTAGGCTACCCCACCGCCACAAGTACATACTAAATAATGTGACTTTGTAATGCAGGGATGTCCTAAGAGATGGGGCTGCTTGTACTGTTTTAGGGTACGGAGCAACCATGCCACAACGTTAAAACAGATGCCCCACTCACACACAAAATACACACTCTGCATCAACAAGTCCTTGTTTTAACCTCTAATACTGGGGGCGGTGGGGTAGCCTAGTGTGTAAAGTGTTCGCTCGTCACGCCGAAGACCCGGGTTCGATTCCCCACATGGGTACAATGTGTGAAGCCAATTTCTGGTGTCCCCTGCCGTGATATTGCTGGAATATTGCTAAAAGTGGTGGAAAACTAAACCCACTCACTCACTCTAAAACTGGGCACCAGGCAGGGTTACAAGAACTACCAATATTTGATATTTTTTTAGCTTGACCAACGACTAAGGCATGGGATTGAACCAACAAGAACCCACCCTCGAAGTAAACACCTAATCCGCAAAGGATATATGATATAATTTAAAGAAAGGAATACCTTTTAGTACATCATATATCTTGCAATAAATTGCCATTATGCTGAAAACAAATACCCTACTCTGTGATTGCACCTTCTATATTATCAAGGCTGGTACAGACAATACATGCAAGGAAACTGTGAGAAAAGATTCATAACGCAAGGGCTTCAAGACTATGAAACAACAAATTCACTGAATATGGCCATACAATTATGGTATTTATACCTATGACAAGCAGATCCTAATAGGACAAAGGGATGTAACTCTGCATGGCCAATATAACATCTTGGATGAATGGGCTACAAGTGGATTATTGAGGGTTTCATGGGTTCAACACCCCTAAATCTTTGTACAAGGTATAAAATGCCACATTTAGGAATTTCTGTTCAGAATAATTAGTAAAACCAAGCACCTTGGTGAGTAAGTTTGTTAGATCCAACAAAAAACCCAACAGACAACATTTGTCATGCTTACTCTCGCAAAACACATACGTACTATGATGCGGTATGAATGCTGGGGATGCATATAAGCCAGATTTAACAAACCATTATCCCTTGTAACTGAAAGCGTGCCTTGTTTTTAAGTTCTTGAAGCTTGGCTTGTTTCTCCTTGTCAAGTTGAATCCTGTCTTTGATGCCAAACAAGTCATGGTCGTTATCCTTCATGATCCTCCTCCTGCTGATGTCAAGGTCATCCACTGTGCCAAGGTCATGGTAGATCACGGGAATGATGTACACTGCACAGATCGTACCAATTGCCAGCATGAGACAGATGATACTTCGCTGAAGTCGGGACAATCGATTCCATACCTGAGGATAAACAGATCACACTTACATGACAGCAATAGACAAAGTGTCACTATAAACACGGTAAATTATAAGAGAAGTATTTTTTGTCAACCATCGTGTCCACAGTTGATATTGCTGGAATATTTCTGAAAGTGGTGTAAAACCATACACACATTATACCCATGTGGGGAATCGAACCAGGGTCTTTGGCGAGACTAGCAAATGGTTTAACCACCAGGCTACCCCTCCGCCCTTAGGAGAAGGTGGATGCATGGCTGTATAGGTCCGTCTCCTATTCTCGCGGGTTTCCTATTCTCGCGGTAAACACGTTTTCTGCCGAAATCGCGATGCGCGACACTTAGTGGTTGTTTACATCACTGACTGGTAACTAGGAAGTGGCTCAAGTCTGTGAGTGATCAAAATCTTGCAGTGTCACGATTATTGGGGAGTTTATACCAACTTGGACATATCATTACTTTTTCCCGCCTTTTCCGGCAGGATTGCTCTTACATACACTCAATAACGTTAATTCCTGGTAATACCCCGAGAATGGGAGAAGCCTCGTTTCGTCAATGGCGGGTGGCATTGTTTATCACCGGGCTCACGAGTGGTAATTCACCTGATGGATCTGGCAGATGATAGATGTAGATGTTAGAGGAGAAGGCCCTTCATTTAAAAACAACAAGCATGAATACGATAAGAAGTGTTTGTGTTTTTTCAGCCGATATCCGTAAGTACCGCGAGAATAGGAAACACCTTCCTACCTCGATTATTGGGGAGTTTATACCAACTTGGACATATCATTACTTTTTCCCGCCTTTTCCGGCAGGATTGCTCTTACATACACTCAATAACGTTAATTCCTGGTAATACCCCGAGAATGGGAGAAGCCTCGTTTCGTCAATGGCGGGTGGCATTGTTTATCACCGGGCTCACGAGTGGTAATTCACCTGATGGATCTGGCAGATGATAGATGTAGATGTTAGAGGAGAAGGCCCTTCATTTAAAAACAACAAGCATGAATACGATAAGAATTGTTTGTGTTATTTTTTCAGTCGATATCCGTAAGTACCGCGAGAATAGGAAACGCCTTCCTACCTGGTAATTCAGCTTGACATCAGAGAGCTTATAAGGCTTTATTCGTAAACCAGATCAAATCACTATCTAATTGTGATCAGTATTTGAGACATGTAATTCCTTTCATATCGGTCATAAGTGGCCCATTAGGCCATTAATAAATCTTGGTTTACTTCAGTAACTAGTACTTACAAAAGCTTGGGGAAAGCAGGTGGTTGACACGCGATTTCTGCACAAAAATGGCAGTAATGCAAATATCATTTCAAATTATGTTGTTAACTTAAATAGCATGTGTCCAAGGGGCTGTCACGAACTGTACATATGCATGCCGTGTGTTTGTTACGTTTAAGTGATGTCAATATGTTAGACATGATCTTGATCACCGATACTCCCAACTTCTTATGGGACAACACTTCCAGAACTCACCCGAACTGGCGACTGCCTGCGTCTTCCTTTACTGTTGTTGTAATCCTCACTACCAAAACCTAATGTGATGGCAGAAAAATCTTTGCGACCTGTCTGGCCGATCATCTTTGTAGTGTCACTGCTTAAAACATGGGGTTTTCGCTGTAAACATGAGCCTGGACCACTCAACTTGTTCCACTTGCCAGCGGTTTCATTTGATACTAGTTTCACAACGACATATAATCTATAAATATTTTATCACTGAGACAAGCAGACAGCAATATTCAGCTGATACCGACGATACCTTTTCGTGTATTTTATCCTTGTTTGGTTTTATATTTCTATGTTTCTGAAATAGTTGTTATTTATGTAATAAGAAATTATTACACATAGTTACCTGTATATAGTTAGTTGTTTGGTTTATTGTATAAGAGATTCGCCCGTTTCCGCTTATGGTAAATGCTAATGTCGTTGATGACACTTGCACAATATCTGCCCATATACAGACATCAATATGCATGTTTCTAATGCCACATGAGACGAGAGTGTTTGTTATCCTGACAGACACTGATTTCAATTATACATATTAAGGATGTGTTTACTTTCACGACATGCCATCCCTAGCGGGTAGTAGGAAAACACACCACGGCTGTTATGAAACGAACACAACGCAACAAACCTTGTATTGCTGATTAAAACTACAATAAACCATTTTTTGGCTATTAAACAACCATGGAGACATGTTCAATCTCTAGCTATAATACATAGGAATAAATTCAGGTAAGAAGTGGCAAATGTAATATGTACGCGGAAACACAGCAAAAGAGGAACTAACAGCTGAGGTCCAAAACATATCGATCATAGGATTAAGTGATAATACGTTAATTGATTAAACACTGTTATCTCGCACAGTGGATTTGTCAGAGGTTTGTGTTTGTGCATATAGGTTTACTTACGCAGACGAAATACATCCATACCCTGTCATAAAGTAATTGTTTGATCGGCATTCTAGAGTGAGTGAGTTTAGTTTTACGCCGCACTCAGCAATATTCCAGCCATATGGCGGCGGTCTGTAAATAATCGAGCCTGGACCAGACAATCCAGTGATCAGCAGCATGAGCATCAATTTACACAATTGGGATACGTGTCAACCAAGTCGCTTTCAAGATTCCGCCATCAAATCTTCAAGAATTCACACAAGTATATGACTAACCAAGCACAATGTCCATATTCGGTGTAACCTCCGCCAACTGCAATAACATCCCTGACCCTCTCCTCATTGACTGTATCGGGCGTTTAATTTGACGCTGTTTTGATTAGCGTTCACTGATGTTCATGTTAGCTAAGATACGTAGCGTTAAACGCTATGTATCTTAGCTATGTTTTGATGGGTTCCATTCTTGATTGAGGGCCTGTTCCAATACATAAAAAAATGCACTGGCCGAGCACTCTGGCGTGTTGTGTCCCCCATAATGTCCCAACTTTGCTCTGTAAGAATGGGATCTGGAGTCCTAGCAGGCCAAGGTGGAGTTGCTCCCGCCACTTGACGTACGAAATCACCAATGTCACGTCATGATGTGACCCAGCATTGTCATCCATGAAGACTGGCCTTGTGTTCCGAGGATGGCCATCGAAATGTGGCACAACAACCCTCTCTAGGATGCCCGAGATGTACCGCTGTCCATTCAGGTTTTGTCGGATTGTAACCCAGTCAAGTTTACAGTGTACCTAATTTTTATTTCAATCGATTTAACATTCCCATGCATTTAAAGGGCAGTTTACAGGAGAGAATATGGTACCAAAACAACAACTTAAGATATTTTCAGTTCAACAACAGAAATCTGAAATAGTGTTTACATTTATGCTCATAATACAGGTGGTGTAAAAATATGAATTAACGTTTTTCTTTAACTAATAAATGTTGAATGTTTGTGTTACTTTACTTAATTATCGTTTCTTTATTGAAGAAATATTAATATAAATGTTAAGTCTTGATAAAAAAGTTTCCCGTCATGCATGCACATCTTTATCACAGCGTCCACTATGGCAAACTATTTGCAGTCAATTGTTGCAAAGGTTTATAAGTTTTTTGTGCTTGAACAAGACAGAGGTAAACCTTTCATTAGTTTAGAAAGGGTTTATTACAGAACTTGTAGAGCTGTTGGTATGTCTTAGTAACAAGTTTACAATATTGTACACAAATCAGACAAGACAGAGACCGTCTCAAAAGCAAAATCGGGACGTAAAACCATCCTTGACAACTTTGACAAAGGAGTACTTATAGACGGGCGGTCTACAAACTTTATGAGAAGAAGAATATATATATTCTAAAGAAGCTACACCAGTGACTTCGTTAAATCTTTGGCCAATGTTCACAACTAGAATAAATTGACCGAATTACATCCATACACAAATGATCCCTTACATAGCCAATACGTATACTATACGTACATATATTCAACATTTTGTAGAAAACATCTATTGAGATGACCCCTTCCCCCGAGCGTGTGCTCAGGTGTCAATTTCACCTGTCGATACCGTGCATGCTGATGACGTAACACAGGCAGTTAATGTTTAACTACCCGTTAATTTTCTGTTTTTGGTATTTTCATCAGTAAAAACACATTTTAGGGCATGTCTCAAAATTTATTCCCTCGGTCTACATTAGGTAGATGTTTCTTAAAGTGATATTTGTTATTTATGTAACTGTAATACCTCTGAATTTTAAATATAAGTCAAAAAGCATTTTTCTAGCATTTACGACGGTACTTTAGGCTGTCCCACCAACCCTCGACGTGGAAGCCACAAACATTTTAACTCGCCACTTGACATGAACAGATGGAGTTTTGTGATTCTGAGACGGGTTGTATCATCCCTTGCAGTTGTCAGTCCAAGACGCCCTGAACGCTGACAGCATCTAACGTCATTTCATTTCTGGAAAATCGACTGATAAAGTTCTTGAAAGGCATTTAGAATTTGGTCGAACATGAATACCCGATGAAGGTGATGAATGACCGAGAATTAGCGCTGAAACGTCGTATAAAGAATAAAAAGAAGTGGTTGATATTACTGATATAGCTGATACCAACATACTGATAGCTGATACCAACATACTGATAGCTGATACCAACATACTGATAGCTGATACCAACATACTGATGGGTCATCTCTTGCAATAGCCCTCAATGACATGCCAGCATTCCGCATATACGAGTAACATGCCTTCTTAAAGCAGTTGTCAGTTGAAGAAAACTCTATATAATCAAAAACGAAATCAATTGATTTTCCTAGTTATCGAGAACAGTTTACTTAACTAAATATTTGCTAAAAGACGGGAACGTGTATTGCAGGTGACGCTTCCCTCTGATCATAGCTTGGTTGGTTGGTTTGTTGTTTAACGCCGCACTCAGCAATATTCCAGCTATATGACGGCGGTCTGCAAATAATCGAGTCTGGACCAGACAATCCAGTGATCAACAGCATGAGCTTCAATTTACGCAATTGGGATACGTGTCAACCAAGTCAGCAGGCCTGACCACCCGATCCCCTTATAGTTGCATGAGTTACTGAAGACCGATTCTATCCCGGACCTTCACGGGTTTCTGATCATAGCATGTGCATATCTAATATCAATGTATGGTGCACCACACGGGTGAATACAATGATGCAAACCTAATTATGATATAAATATTAATTCCTATATAGGCGTTAAAAATCATAGGTATTGCAATACGTTTCTGAGGAATGTCTTAGGTGTTGTCCAATTCCTCCAACGTAGGCTGCGTGCATGCCTCTTTTAGTCCTTGGAGCAGTTACCGTATTTATAAGTTTGAGGTCGCCAACTTTCAATCTTGCAAATGAATTATCTGATCGAAGGAAGTGCAACAGAGTTGTACGGTGATGAAAAGCAAACTTTCATACAGTCCATTCAACTTTCTCTTAAAACCAGCGATATTGTCGACTTGAACTTCAGGTGTAAGTCAGAGGTTGGGATCAGTCTGGGTCCCGGAGTTGTGTTGTGGAAACCCGTCCTTTACCTCTACGCTTGGATTGTGGCGGGAATTTGGAACTGGAATACTGACGAGATAAGGCATACTTGAGGGTGCACGAAATGATTATTTTCCGAGAAGAATATGTTTTCTCTTGGACTTACACAGTTTTGAGGTTTCTTAGGATGAAAAAGGTCCCTTGTATTATATGACAGCCCCATACACAAGAATATGATGTAATATACCAGCAAGTAGTAATTAAGGAATTACAGTGTTTCGAAAATTCATATTTTGGCACTATATGATAGTCAGCAGAATTTGTTGATAAGTACCAGGGTCTGGCCTAGTTACCTGGGGAAGGAAAGAACACATAACAAAACGGATATATAGAATATTTTTAATAACATTTGTTGTAATTACAAGTATCAAATATAATGCCCTTTACATTTGTTCACACATTGTGCCCATGTGTGGAATGTCTTCAGCACTACAGCTCTCTTGGCGCTAAGATAGCCACAAGTTAATGTTAATGTATGACACTTACGACTATCTTAGAGCTTAGAGAGCTTTGAAAATCTAGGCCCAGGCCCCTGTGGACATCTTGAGCTTACGACTATCTTAGAGCTTAGAGAGCTTTGAAAATCTAGGCCCAGGCCCCTGTGGACATCTTGAGCTTACGACTATCTTAGAGCTTAGAGAGCTTTGAAAATCTAGGCCCAGGCCCCTGTGGACATCTTGAGGTCATTGTGTTTCATAAGAAAATATGAAAATTGTAATTGTTCGAGAGACAAAGAACTGGTAGATGTCATGAGAGTTCCATAAAATCAGCCACATCACAGCTTGAGTTGTCTTTGTACTCACTCACCAAGCAATATGAGTGGGGAGAAGTTAACCGAACGAGTTATGTTTCACGCTGCTTTTAATGCTATTCCAGCTATATCAAGGCTTGAGGTGGGTGGAAGTCAAGTATTTACGAATCGGTGAAGTCTACAAGCACAGCTATGGTGCTGACAAACCTTGAAACATAAACAGGGAGAAACGGGATTCAAACCCAGTCAGATGTTTCTGGCATGTCCAAGGTATCAACCAATCACAGTAAACTGTGGCATCTTTAACAACTGAGTAATCCACGCCCCAAGAGAACTACAAGCAAGAGCGTCAAGAACAAAGTGAGTGAGTGAGTCTAGGTTTTACTCCCCTTTTAGCAATATTCCAACAATATCACTGCGGAGGCCACCGGAAAATGGCTTCACACATTGGACCTATGTGGGGAATCGAACCTAGGTCTTTGGCGTGATGAGCGAATGCTTTAACCACAAGGCTACCCCACCGCCCCCTCAAGAACCAAGAAGGATGTATCCAGCAGCTTGTTGTCAAGACAACAAGGTTAGTGGCTTTGATTTTAAGCTGCTTTTGTAAAATCCCAGCAATACCATAGAACGACATGAGGAAGTGACTTCATGCATTGTACCCATGAGGAGAACTGAACGTGCAAATGAAAACTATGACAGTAAGGACACTTGTAACCACATAATTCATTAACCTTGTTCATATTTTGCATTCTACAAAGAAACATTTAGCTATTCCAATACACAAAGACTACTGAATAATGTATATATCTTGATATTTGACACATTAACTTCTTTGGATGGCATTTTTAGAAGTTGAGAAGTACAATAATGACAAATTTTGCCGATAACAACTTCTCTAACTGCAATGTTTTGAATGCTGTCCTACTGTTACAAGAATCTGTTTCAAAACACCACACTTTTGAAATTTGTTTGTAATTATTGTCACATTAACACTAAAATTTCCAAACTGTGATAACATCACCTGTCCCCATGAGGAGGACAATATGTAACCTGAATGACTGTGTGTCCTTGTATCCTAGAATGCTGCTTATAATATCAACCAATGGTTTGTCTGCAGAACTTGAATATTTACATATTTACTATACAGCAGACTGGGGCATACACCAACATTCACTCATAGTTCTCTCACAAAAGTTGGTTCTTTGTTGTTTAACACTGCACTCAGCAATTTTCCAGCTTTCGATCTACACAACTGGGATACAATCACTTGTGAACCAAGTCAGTGAGCCTGACCACCCGATCCCGTTAGTCGCATTTATGACAAGCATGGGTTGCTTAGGACCCATTCTAACCCGGATCTTCATGGGTACTCTCACTACAGACTTCTTGAGATAACTACATCCCTGTGCTGCTCAACACAATAGGACAATATCCCAAAGTGGATGTCAAGATGCTTTTAGAGAGAAATGCACAGAGATATGGTTATGGCAGCTAAGTACAGACATGTCACCATCAACACTACCATACTTGTCATAAAAAAAGGATCCTGAACTGCAGTAGGGTAAAACATCTAAATAATATTAAATGCATCTTGTTTACATACAACTTAAAACTGACAATGCTTCAAACATCCACTATAAAACATTGTAACAAAGTAACTTTAAAGATACAATCCTAAACATAAAATTTGCCATAAACTAATCTTCAAGTCCATGATTTAAACAACAAACTGCTAAAGAACCAACATTTGACACATAAATAATAGAGCTGCAACGATTCACCCATCCTTGATTCAATTCGATTTTCGATATTGGACCCTTGATTCGATCATTTTCGATTTGATTCTTCCTACAAGTGTAAACATCAAATTTCATTAATTCTCAGAGTAGGCTTTTTAGTGTGAAATCCATCGTCAACTTGGCGATGTCTACTAACAACAATTCTCACTAGATAATTAGCCCGGGATCAACCAGTCATGTTTCGCCTTATTTGAGCGCTCGAAGTAGCTCGACTTGGGAGTCAAAATTATGTTCTGGCTGCATGGAAATAATTTAAATAGGTATTCAAATATCTAATCTAAATAGTGATAATGGTTATCAAAAATCGAAACTAAGGTGTCACATTCGATTTTCGATGAATTGAACCGAATTGTCGCAGCCCTAATTAATATCATGGACTATTATGATAAAGAAACATCATGTTCACTCAACATTTAACAAACATAAGTCATGTATTCCAAACACATCCATCCATCAAATCCATGTCAACAAGGAAGATCATTCAACAAATATCACAATGTTGCTAAGAAACATATCTTTTTGGCAGGGCACATACCGTATAAAGTCATTTGAGAAAACTGATAGAAAGGAACTAAGCATTCACTGAACTGCTCAAAACTTTCCCCCATCATCAAGAAGTCAACAAATTGTTCATAATGTACATGTTGTAAAAGCTTCAAGTCTGTTGATTGACCCAAGTTGTCCTGATTTCAAACTGTTTGGTTAGTATTGTCATAGGAAACTGCAGTTATCTTCTGTCTGATGATCATCTACCATTCAGATCCAACAACAAGTTCAGGAAGATTGTCCAACCTGATGTTCCATCTGTCTGATCCTCAATTACCTTCAGTCAGGCAACAGTTCCTAATGGATGATACGTCCATGTATCTCCAACTTGCAGCACCAAGTAAGATCCAGTAAGATCCTTCAGGCAACAGTTCAGGATGATTGTTGGTCAGTCTGTCCGTCTGTCAGGTCCTAATGGATGATATGTCCATGTATCTTCAACATGCAGCACCAAGTAAGATCCAGTAAGATCCTTCAGGCAACAGTTCAGGATGATTGTTGGTCAGTCTGTCCGTTTGTCAGGTCCTAATGGATGATATGTCCATGTATCTTCAACTTGCAGCACCAAGTAAGATCCAGTAAGATCCTTCAGGCAACAGTTCAGGGTGATTGTTGGTCAGTCTGTCCGTTTGTCAGGTCCTAATGGTTGATATGTCCATGTATCTTCAACTTGCAGCACCAAGTAAGATCCAGTAAGCTCCTTCAGGCAACAGTTCAGGATGATTGTTGGTCAGTCTGTCCGTTTGTCAGGTCCTAATGGATGATATGTCCATGTATCTTCAACTTGCAGCACCAAGTAAGATCCTTCAGGCAATAGTTCAGGATGATTGTTGGTCAGTCTGTCCGTTTGTCAGGTCCTAATGGATGATATGTCCATGTATCTTCAACTTGCAGCACCAAGTAAGATCCTTCAGGCAACAGTTCAGGATGATTGTTGGTCAGTCTGTCCGTCTGTCAGGTCCTAATGGATGATACGTCCATGTATCTTCAACTTGCAGCACCAAGTAAGATCCAGTAAGATCCTTCAGGCAACAGTTCAGGATGATTGTTGGTCAGTCTGTCCGTCTGTCAGGTCCTAATGGATGATACGTCCATGTATCTCCAACATGCAGCACCAAGTAAGATCCAGTAAGATCCTTCAGGCAACAGTTCAGGGTGATTGTTGGTCAGTCTGTCCGTTTGTCAGGTCCTAATGGTTGATATGTCCATGTATCTTCAACTTGCAGCACCAAGTAAGATCCAGTAAGCTCCTTCAGGCAACAGTTCAGGATGATTGTTGGTCAGTCTGTCCGTTTGTCAGGTCCTAATGGATGATATGTCCATGTATCTCCAACTTGCAGCACCAAGTAAGATCCTTCAGGCAATAGTTCAGGGTCCTAATGGTTGACATGTCCACGTATCTTCAACATGTAGCACCAAGTAAGATCCAGTAACATCAGTCAGGCAGCTTCTTCACCAGTTCGTACAGGCTGCGGATGATGTTGTCCAGCTGAATCAAACCGGACTGAAGGATGGGCCTGAAAACATAACAAAAATAACCTTTAATCACAAATTCAACATACAGTAAGCTATGTTAATAACAAACACACTTATAATGAACTGATGAATGTAACAAACTGTCCGCTTGATGTATATTTAGTTGAAAAGTATATAATGATCTATGGTTAGTGAAAACTAAAACTAGTCGTCACAATGAGTTTGTTTAGTATATATATATATATATTTATACAGTTAGAACACCAGAAGATATATGCTTATTACTTTGATAAAAGCCAGAAATGAAATGTATAAATTGAATTTTGAAAATGCTGTACCAATAGACAAAATTACAGATTTGTAAACCATATTTACATATATAGAGAGAGGATATTGACAGAGAAATGAAGGACTTCAGTTGTACCTGTTGCTTGTGTTACGGAAGAAGGACATCAATGCATCAACTGTAACTGACTCGAACACTACTGGCTGAAACAAAACACACGTACGTCGGGTCAAATATCTGACATGGCAAAAGTGGGACAGATTTACAAGATCATCCATTCTGTACACATAGGAGTGCTACAAGGATGCAGAATATCTTTAGAAATGAAAAGGAACAATTACATGTATTGTTAGTAATTGTTAGTAAACTTACCTCTGGATTATGGTAGCCCTATTCCTGTTGATACACAGAATACATACAGAAAATCAAAAGAAATTTTAACACTAAGTCATAGCTGTTCCTAGTGGTATACCTAGTCTACCCCTGAGTTATCTCCCTTGATCTTGATGTCACTGTATTGTTCTAGAACCCTTCATAATTTTTCTTAAAAACAACACATCTTTGACATCTTTTAAGGATAATTTCGCGGGGAGGACACAGGGTGGGAACTACTCGCCATAATCCAGAGGTAAGTTTACTAACAATTACTAACAATACATGTAATTGTTCCTAATTATAACGTAAACATTCCCCCTGGATTATGGTTGCCTGAATACCAAGTAAGGAAGGAGGGTTACCCTTGGAAGATACTACCCTCTATACAACCACCTGAGAGTTGATTACTCAACCTCCTAAGAATAACTATGACTTAGTCAGAGATAAATAATTTATCTCCAGTTTGGTCAGTAGCAGTGAGGGAATACATTCCCAGAGATGGAGAGTCTTCTAACTTCCTACAGTTATGGTTGATATGATAGATATCATGATAATCCTAATCCGTAATAGTAGGAAATATATAATACCTGACGCCATAAATCCAGATTACGATAGATTCCTATGAATGTATCATGATTCTATTTGAATCCCCCGAATTATGTCATTAAACTAACATTCCTTAAAATTATGACGTCACTTCCTGTTTGATGACGTCACTTCCGGTCTAACGACAGCACTTCCGGATCCTAGAGACAATCTCTATGATGTAATACTAAATCACTTAGATTCTACTTTATGACGTCACTTCCGGTTCTATGAGGACACTTCCGGTTCTATGACGTCACTTCCTGTTCTATGATGTCACTTCCGGTTAACTGCCATTAGACTATAAATGTATCATCCATCCAAGTCGTACCTCAGATAGTCCTTGGCACCATCTCTCACTGCGTCATCCTTCCTGAAGATGTAGATGCCAGGTCAACATGAAATGAATTCCGGCACAGTTCTGAAAGTTATCTGTTTATATCCTTCCGAAAAAGTGATGGATTTAAAGTTTACCGCATGTAATTCCGAAACTCTGGAAGCCGTTGCAAATGCCAAGAGAAATGGCGTCTTAAATGCCAGATACTGTAGAGAAGTGTCCTGCATAGGCTCATAAGGAGATTTCTGAAGAGATTGAAGCACTAATGTTAAATCCCACTTAGGAAATATCGTTGGAGACGATATATCCTTAATCTGAAAGGATCTGATCATTTTGTGAAGCGATGTATCCGAGCCCACAGATAAACCTTGAACATCCATGACTGAAGCAATAGCTGATCGATATCCCTCAATAGTATTATGCTTAAAATATTTCTGTTCCTAAGGGATAAAGTCCGCTATCGTTGGAATGGTGACAGGCACATTCAAGATTCCACACTCTTGTCTCCACTTGATGAATCATCGCCACTTAGCGTCGTACAAGGCAGCTGTGGAAGGTCTAACGGGTTCTGAAATAGCTCTGGTAGCTGCAACCGTAAATCCCTGTTTCCTGAGTGAGCTTGAAATAGCTTCCATACGTGTAGCGCAAGTTGACTGACATTCTTGCGAAACCTGTTGGACTTGGGTTGACTGATTAGATTGTGCCACAACGGGAGACGTAGAGGTTTGTCCACCAATAGTTGTAGTAGACTGGGAAACCAAGGTCTGGCAGGCCACGCTGGTGCCACTAGATAAACTAGACAGTCGTGTTGTTGAATTTTTAACAGTCCTCTGGGATTAGTTTGAATGGAGGATTGGACACACCTTGAGTCTGCCAGATGTCCACATGTGGACGTAATGAAACTCCCAGCAACACATTCACGTCCACAGTCCACCATAATATCTCCCTTCGACTCTGTCTGGAAAAGCTATGAGATGTTCCAAGTCGTCTATCCGAAACTGGTTGAGCCAGATCTGCGGGAAGCTCACCTTAGTCTTCCTCTTACAGTATAATCCTGGATTGAAGTGAGAGATCCTAGAAGGGACATGAACGAACTGATGCAGTTGGCCTCTGTAACATATTGTTTATCTTGGTTGATATTTCCAACCAACGATCCTGAGGAGTGTAAATACGGCCTGCTCTTGAATCTAAGATTGCCCCCAGAAACTTGATCCTCGTGGAAGGGACCAGTTCTGACTTGGTAGGATGAACTATTAGACCAAGATGTGTAAACATGTGGATTATAAAGTTGGTTTGCTTCATGAGAACTGCTGTCACCACATGCCTTGCCAAGAAATCATCCAGATAACCGTGTACTGCAATCCTTCGTTGATGAAGAAAAGCTAGAATCGGGGAGATTTTTTTTCGTGAACAGCCACGGCGCTAGTGATATTCTGGCAGCACCCTTAACTGAAACCTGAGACCGTTCACCGCAAATCTTAGGTATTTCCGAGATCTCGGATGAATAGGGATATGAAGATACGCATCCTTTAGATCTATGCTTATAAACTTGGAATCCTGACAAATCAAGGTGCGTAGGTTTGCAACTGATTCCATCCTGAACTTTGGCGGTTTCCTCAAAAATAGCTTGTTCAACACTTTCAAGTCTATTATCATGCGCGTTTTGTCTGAATCTTTCTTGGGGACAAGGAATACCGGTGAATAAAACCCGCATGTCTGATCCCCTGGAGGAAGTTCTATGATTGCCCGTTTCTCCAGTAACTGTTTCATTGCTAAGTTTGCTCCCGCTAAACGCTGGGCTGAAGAACAAACCGACGACCCTCTGGAAAGCAAGTCACTGGAGGCTGCTTGTGCCAGGGAAGAATAAACCCCCTGCTCACGACAGACAGGACCCACTCGTCTGGTATTATTAGTTTCCAATTGTCCAAATATTGGGCCAACCTGCCCCCTACTGGAGATTGTGTCAACGGACATACAAAGTCCAAATTCAATATCATGTCGAGGAACGTTTCCGATTCGAGTGCTGAACAGTGAGACTTAAGTCAATATTTCTTGGAAGTTGATCTTGATCCACAAAAAAAATCTACCTCCCCTACTTCTACCCCTAGATGAGGATGAGCCTCTAGTAAAAGCCACATTTGTTGAACACACTCTTGAATCCGAGGCACGTTCAAATGCAGACCTCTGAAAATTCTGACTACACCTTGTTGAAGATGGAGCAGAGCGAGACGTACACTGGATCCCCTTCTAGATCTAGTGTCAGCCCTTCCTCTATTTTGGAATAAAAGAGCCGACGCCAAACGTTGATTCAAGTTCCTCGACATCAAAGCATCTCTAGCCTCAATAGCCTCCTGACATTGTCCATTAAAGGTGCTATCCGATTCCAAGGGCTGATGAAACAGAAAATCCCTTGAAACATCCGGTAAAGTTCTCACTGAATCTAGCCGCTGTATCCGCTCAATAGCTATAAGTCGGCCCAATATATTCACTTGAGTCGCCATCGCATCGGCTAAGGACTGATACACTACATCCAGAAACAAATGCGCTAAGGCCACCTCTTTAGCAGTCATGGAAATCAAAGTGTCTTTCTTAACTCCCGTATAATCTTGAAACACAGGTGGGAGCAAGGCACAAACTCCCGCAGAAACCATATTTGAATAAGACAGGGTATCAATCGCCGATCAGGCTGCCATATCCCAATTCCCTACAGTCCTTGAAAGTACAGAACGGTGCATATTCACGAGAGCCTCTAGCATCCTGTAACTGTTTAAAGTCCTTGTCTAAACTTGGTTGATTGGCTGGGATAACACGATCATGGATGGAATAAATGGGTTTATGAGAAACCCTAGGCAAAGAACCTTGTAGCCTTGGAGAGGCCTAAGTTGTAATTCTCCAACACTTTCTTAAGTGATGATGAATGTGGTAATGACAGCCTGGGCATCCGTTCCGGGGGAAGACAACCTGTTAATCCGAGTTCCATGACAATATCTATCTGCTGCTCATCCGACGGAGGTGGTAGAGTATTAGGATAAAGTCCGTGCAAAAGTTCCGGCTTTTCCTTAAATGACCAGCCCGGCTTAAAATCCTGTGCTGAAATGTCCATAGGTTGTACCGTCAACAACCCTTCTCTCATGGAAAACACTTGTTGTGAAAAAGGATAAACTGATGAATCCTCCTGGTCCGTCACATCAGAAACTAACGGGATTAAGGGCGTATTTTCTGTGTCAAAATAACCTTGCAGGTCCGTAGCCGTGTCCTCTGAACCACAAGGTCTGTGCAAATCAGACTACTGGATTGATACACCGTTATCCATAGCAGCCGACCCAGCGGCCTGGCTAAAGCCTGGGCGGGAATCACGTGTCGTCTGGCCCGAGTCAGACCCATGAAACGCTTGCAGCTCGGTCTCCCCGTGGGAGAAGGTAGCAGGCTGTATGCGACAGGGAGCAGCCACGGATGACTCGCTCCCAGGGTCAAAGGTCGCTGAGTGTGTAGCCTGAGCCACAGTCACCCCGGACCAAGAACCGGGTGGGCCGACTCCATCCCCGTCGCTTGAAGCGTCGCTTCTCCCCCTGAGGGGACCGGCCTCCTACGTACACCAAGGCATGGTAACCGGCTTTCCCGGTCATAGCACCCCTGGTTTCTGTGGGAAGTGACTTTGTCTAATATATATTATATATATCTAATATAAATGCAAAACAGCAATGCGATTGAATATTAAATTGAATGCGATTTGTAACTGACCTAGATATGAAGAATTGAAGTCTTGATTTGAAATGAAATTTCACTCGATTCTCTGCACGTCATGCGTGTGGACCATACACAAAAATTATGAAGGGTTCTAGGAGAACAATACAGTGATGTCAGGATCAAGGGAGATAACTCAGGGGTAGACTAGGTATACCACTAGGAACAGCTATGACTTGTGGTAAAATTTCTTTTGATTTTCTGTATGTATTCTGTGTATCAACAGGAATAAGGCTACCATAATCCAAAGGGAATGTTTACGTTATAATTGCTGAAATTTCAGAATGATTAAATGAATACAAAATACAGGCTATTGCTCCACTATCCTCAAGCACTGGCACTTGTATATCCACTATAACTCTGGGATCACCATATCAGTTCTAAATAAACAGTCCTAGAGTGTGTGTGCTAAGGACCTCTGTTTGTTACCCACAGACTCCCACAATTAAAATACTTCGAGTCCTCTAGACCCCCAGATTAAATCACCCTGCTAAATCACTACAAAATCTGTTGTTTTGTATGTCAGCTGAATCAATGTAAGTAGTCAACCTCACAGACACCTTGTGATAAAACATCAATGATAATATATACAGAGCTAGTCTGGGACTCAAACTCGTAATCAGCAGATCCTGGTAAACCTAGGGGAAATAAAACTGTACAGTATCAGTGCCTGAGGTAAATAGATATCTGTGCCTCCTCTCCATGAGCTGTGTCACCATCGTTCTCATTCATTTCAACCATGTATGGCTTCTAGACAATTAATGACTATTTTTCAAATTTTCATTATTTTTTAATCATTTATTATTTTTCACATTTCCTCCTTAATTCACAATTCATTACATCCCCACAGGGTCAAGTGTTACTGAGATTGGCAACATGTAAGCATTTGTTCATTAGCTGACAGTGGACTGAATATCTATTATTACCAGGGTGGTGGGGTAGCCTAGTGGTTAAACCGTTCGCACGTCACGCTGAAGACCCGGGTTCAATTCTCCACATAGGTACAATGTGTCAAGCCCATTTCTGGTGTCCCCTGTCGAGATATTGCTGTAATATTGCTAAAAGCAGGGTAAAATTAAACTCACTCAATCACTCATCATTATTACCTTATGCTTCAGCTTAACAAATACTGTGTTCAGCTGATCACAGAAGTTTTGAAACTTCTCTCTCTCATTAGGAATTTCATACGGGAGAAATTGAAAGACATCTGAAAACAAAATATAGAGCTTAGTCACAGTGCTAAATGCCATCCATTTTCATTCCAATCATCAACAACGACTCTTCAATAACACTTTCAATCTCCTTGGACACACAATGTACAGACTGGTGATTAATGCAAATAAACAAAAAGGGGTTAACTGAGGCAGGGGATATTGTAATAGTCTTAGGCCAAATGCTTGAAATGTCCCGATCTTTTAGGATCTTTCAGCAGCAGTAAAACTGTTATCCAGTAATTTCTATGACACCTCCCACCCTCTGGAAATTCTTGTTGATATGGAACTAGCCACAGAATGTATCAGGTTACTAAAACATACAAGGTTTTCCTCACTGCTTGACCCACACAGTCCACATGTCCACAACCAACTGCCTGAATATTAACCCTGGTCTACTGGACGTGACAAGCACTGGTGTTCTACATGGTCAAGATATGCAGTGTGGGGGATAAGGCCGGATGTATCAATCACCTGATTTGGATACTATCTCTACATTTGGCCTAGGAGTAGTGAGGATATTCTATATTTTGTCTGTATATTGAACTGCTATACTGGCATAACGGAATCCTCAAACGCCCTTTATCGCAGTCACAAAACAAAAATGTTTGCGGGAGTTGATACTTATAGAATAGTATTTACAAAACAGGAATGAAACATAAACACAAATATGACTCACAGGGCAAACTCATATCGAAGGTCCTTGATGATCCTGGTGAGGCGGGTCAGTAGGCTGAGGTAGTCATTGCTGACGGACTGCTGCAGGGAGGCCTCGATCTCAACACTGGAACACAAATATAAACATGCTTAGGTCTGTCTCAGTGCTGAAATATAAACATGGACAGGCTTCAATACACAGACATAGTACAAGTAGACACCTACTGTAGTCTACACAGACATAGTACAGGTAGACACCTACTACTGTAGTCTACACAGACATAGCACTGGTAGACACCTACTGTAGTCTACACAGACATAGTACAGGTGGACACCTACTGTAGTCTACACAGACATAGTACAGGTACACACCTACTGTAGTCTACACAGACATAGCACTGGTAGACACCTACTGTAGTCTACACAGACATAGTACAGGTAGACACCTACTGTAGTCTACACAGACATAGCACTGGTAGACACCTACTGTAGTCTACACAGACATAGTACAGGTAGACACCTACTGTAGTCTACACAGACATAGTACAGGTAGACACCTACTACTGTAGTCTACACAGACATAGTACAGGTAGACACCTACTGTAGTCTACACAGACATAGTACAGGTAGAAACCTACTGTAGTCTACACAGATATAGTACAGGTAGACACCTACTGTAGTCTACACAGACATAGTACAGGTAGACACCTACTGTAGTCTACACAGACATAGTACAGGTACACACCTACTGTAGTCTACACAGACATAGTACAGGTAGACACCTACTGTAGTCTACACAGACATAGTACAGGTAGACACCTACTGTAGTCTACACAGACATAGTACAGGTAGACACCTACTGTAGTCTACACAGACATAGTACAGGTAGACACCTACTGTAGTCTACACAGACATAGTACAGGTAGACACCTACTGTAGTCTACACAGACATAGTACAGGTAGACACCTACTGTAGTCTACACAGACATACACAGGTAGACACCTACTGTAGTCTACACAGACATAGTACAGGTAGACACCTACAGGTAGACACCTACTGTAGTCTACACAGACATAGTACAGGTAGACACCTACTGTAGTCTACACAGACATAGTACAGGTAGACACCTACTGTAGTCTACACAGACATAGTACAGGTAGTACACCTACTGTAGTCTACACAGACATAGACACACTGGTAGACACCTACTGTAGTCTACACAGACATAGTACAGGTAGACACCTACTGTAGTCTACACAGACATAGTACAGGTAGACACCTACTGTAGTCTACACAGACATAGTACAGGTAGACACCTACTGTAGTCTACACAGACATAGTACAGGTAGACACACCTACTGTAGTCTACACAGACATAGTACAGGTAGACACCTACTGTAGTCTACACAGACATAGTACAGGTAGACACCTACTGTAGTCTACACAGACATAGTACAGGTAGACACACCTACTGTAGTCTACACAGACATAGTACACTGTAGAGACACCTACTGTAGTCTACACAGATATAGCACTGGTAGACACCTACTGTAGTCTACACAGACATAGTACAGGTAGACACCTACTGTAGTCTACACAGACATAGTACAGGTAGACACCTACTGTAGTCTACACAGACATAGTACAGGTAGACACCTACTGTAGTCTACACAGACATAGTACAGGTACACACCTACTGTAGTCTACACAGACATAGTACAGGTAGACACCTACTGTATTCTACACAGACATAGTACAGGTAGACACCTACTGTAGTCTACACAGACATAGTACAGGTAGACACCTACTGTAGTCTACACAGACATAGTACAGGTAGACACCTACTGTAGTCTACACAGACATAGTACAGGTAGACACCTACTGTAGTCTACACAGACATAGTACAGGTAGACACCTACTGTAGTCTACACAGACATAGTACAGGTAGACACCTACTGTAGTCTACACAGACACAGACATATAGTACAGGTAGACACCTACTGTAGTCTACACAGACATAGTACAGGTAGACACCTACTGTAGTCTACACAGACATAGTACAGGTAGTCTACACACACCTACTGTAGTCCACACAGACATAGTACAGGTAGACATCTACTGTAGTCTACACAGACATAGTACAGGTAGACACCTACTGTAGTCTACACAGACATAGTACAGGTAGACACCTACTGTAGTCTACACAGACATAGTACAGGTAGACATCTACTGTAGTCTACACAGACATAGTACAGGTAGACACCTACTGTAGTCTACACAGACATAGTACAGGTAGACACCTACTGTAGTCTACACAGACATAGTACAGGTAGACACCTACTGTAGTCTACACAGACATAGTACAGGTAGACACCTACTGTAGTCTACACAGACATAGTACAGGTAGACACCTACTGTAGTCTACACAGACATAGTACAGGTAGACATCTACTGTAGTCCACACAGACATAGTACAGGTAGACACCTACTGTAGTCTACACAGACATAGTACAGGTAGACATCTACTGTAGTCTACACAGACATAGTACAGGTAGACACCTACTGTAGTCTACACAGACATAGTACAGGTAGACACCTACTGTAGTCCACACAGACATAGTACAGGTAGACACCTACTGTAGTCTACACAGACATAGTACAGGTAGACACATCTACTGTAGTCTACACAGACATAGCACTGGTACAGGGTTCGTACAGATTATCAGCCTTGAAACTAAAGGCTTTTCTACGGGCTTTCAAGGCCCAATCAATAATTTGAAGGAACTATAGAAGCACACCTGTTTGAGAGGCATTCTATAAGTTGTAAGTAATAGGAATGACAAGCCTTCATGGATGATCAACTTTTATATTGTACAATAGATACGTTTCGGTATAGATATTAATAGTGTATTCAAGCGTGAGCTCAAGTATGATCATCCGTAAAGACTTGTCATTCCTATAGAAACACATATGGCAGGTTGGTCAAATGAGGGACCGACCATCAGAGGGAAATTTACATCGCTGCACTGGTTTTGCTTTGCCACTGAGATTAATTAACACTCACTGTCAATGCAAGGTACTTTTATTATGTATTAAAATCATAACTTGACAAGTTTTGCCAAATGTAGGGCATTTTAGAGCAACTCAACTCAACTCAACTAAGGCCATTTCAAGGCTAAAATGAATTTAGGACCTTTTCAGGGTAAAATGACAATATTGACAGCTGCCGTCTACACACACGTAACTGATTACAGGTGGGATATACTTCAGGCCGACACACAGGCAGACACGTCACTTTAAAAATGGCGTCAAAACATTTACCACACTTGGTACACATTAGCCCACACAAGCTGGAAACAGTTGTGTACGACAGTCAGATCCTGTGGGTGATCAGCCTGTTCAGCGGTGGCAGTACTGGTGGTGGCAGTGGTGATGGTGTTGTTGATGTTGGAGGCTTTAGGTCTGGCCTTCATTCTGGATGCTGCTAGACTGGAAATGGAGGGTTTGACATCAAAGTCGGAGGTGGTGGGTACGGAGCCTGGTTGTGACGAACGTTGAGGAAGTCGGAGTGACATCTGTACAGGCGGATGGATCAGGACGGTCTACATAGACTTGTGTCGGTCTGGATGACTGACTGGCCACAGGCTTGTTTGTGAATGTTCGTAACTTGAACATAAAATCAACAACAACAATCAACAGAGGCTCTCAATGAATCTCAGATGAACATAAAGATACTCATAGTTTCAGGTTATACTTTCTTCTGTGATAACACACAGTAATATTTAAGCTTAATGTAGGCAACATGAAAATAATTCAGTCTGTGTCAAAGATTCCAGCATTTGATTTTGTGAGCCTTGATTCACACTATCAGGTTACAATGACATGCAATGGAGTCACTTTGCTTCACCATCTGGTCCATTAGTGAGTGAGTTTAGTTTAATGTCGCACTAATAATCCAGTTATATGGCGCCGGTCTATAAATAATTGGTGATCAACAGCACATGAGCATCAATCTACGCAATTGGGATACAATAACATGTGTCAACCAAGTCAGTGAGCCTGACGACCCGATCCAGTGAGTCGCCTCTTACGACAAGCATGGGTTACTGAAGATCAATTTTATCCCTGATCTTCATGGGTCATCTTATCCATTAGCATACGACTAGCACAGGTTGGTGGGGGCTATTTTAACCTGGCATCCCCATGGAGTCTTTGGTAATACTTTGTATAATGAGTTCACAAAAGGACAGGTTCTGAAAGAAATGACAGTCCAGGGCCCCGTTTCACAAAGCTCTCCTATACTGTAACATTGACTTACGATAGTCGTAGAGCTATGAGAGATTTGTAAAATGGGCCCAGGCTGGCCTCATTAAAAAGCACGCTCATCCCATCTAGTGACACAAAACTTGTGTTGCTCTACCTGTGTAGCTGTTGATAATGACGGTGTTGATGGTGTTGATGGTGTTGATGTTGTCTTCAGGTGCTGCATCTGCATCTGCACAGCCTTCAGTTTGTCGATGGAAATGCTTACTCTGCCCTTATAGCTGCAATAGACATAATCATGTGTTTGATTGGACATAAAATTATGGAGTCAGTTTTAAACATATACTCTAAATAATATACTGAGAGATGTTATAACTGGGCCATTACAGTATGTGATCTGCTTGGATGACTGGGTACAATCAGACACCTAAAGCAGGGATCAGTACTTATCTTATCAACCGCTGGTCTGCCTAGTTCATACTTGATTACTGACAGCCTCTGGGCACTCACCTGGAATGTTTCTGCAGTGCCTCCAATAGTTGCATCAGCTCCTTGATCAGCTCCAGCACCTCCCAGCTCCTCAGCAGGGGAACTACATACATACACAGGTGTTATTATGTATAACTTACAGCAGGGGAAGTGTATATATACAGGTGTTATGTAGATCTCACAGTAAGGTAAGTGTAAAGGTACAGGTGGTATAATGCATGACTAACAACAGGGTGACTGTATACATACAGCTGTTATCATATATATCCCGGTTTCAGGGGTTTTCGACGATGTAACACAAAAACATAATTTTTATCTGTAATATCATTTAAAGCTTATATTTTACTATATTTTATTGAGTGATAAAGAATATATTCATCTATTTCACACATAAATATCAAGTGTTTCCTACAAAAATAGCGTTGATGATATCATATCGGTAAAACTGTTGCCGCTCGCCACATCCGGGGATTTTGTATGGGTATTCAACGATGTGCTATACTTTTTTGCTCCGCACAGCGAGAGAGTGTTGTGATCACGTGGCTTCCTATTTACATATTGCCTGTCACCAGCAGACGACTGATCTTACTGAATTTTCGCTTGCTATTTTTTGTTATAAAGGCAGCTGATTTTGCACCGTAAGTGGGTAAATAATATTGATGTTTGTTTGCTTTTTATATAACTTTACTTCCCGATTTCCATTGTCAATAAAACTTCTCACGACAGCGACTGGGCAATCACCCTACCGATGAAACTGCTTGTGCACTCCGATCACACACGTACTCCCCCGATTATAGCGCGAGCAATGCAATCGTCTAAATCACCAGAACGTCGAATTCAGCTCGTGTTGGGATATATCTCACAGGTGAGGTGAGGTGAAATTGGGTTTAACGTCGTACTTGAGAATATTTTGCTCATATGATGACGTGCATGCGAGTGTATGTGTGGCTGCTTGTACTAGCCCAGACTGAAGCTGGTTTTATAGTGCTAGACAACTGAGATACCACCCTGCAGTGAAGTATGAATACCCTACTCAGACACATTATACTGACTCCGAGCCGACCAGTCCTTGTTGTACCCATTAATGCAGAGCGCCAGGTAGGGACCAACAAGTACCATATTTTAACATCTTTTGGTATGATGCGGTCGGGGATCGAACCCGCAACCTTCCACTCTCCGGGCGGACGCTCTAACCACTACACCACGGAGGCGGTCATATCTCACAGGAGGGGAACTGTATATACATCTGTTCAGGGGTGGAAATAACTTTAAAATTGCTAGTGTACTCCGGTACAGGGGCACATGTAAAATCACTTGCCCTAATCATTTTTCCACTATACCAGACGTTTTCTTGTTGATTTTTTAAATAAACAACATAATTAATATTGGAAAGTCAACTGGACACCAGTACAGTGTGATATACAAATTTGCTTGCCCGACAGAAAAAAACACTGGACTCAGGCGTTGGGCAATGGGTTATTTCCACCCCTGCTGTTACTGAGGGAGTGTGTAGGGTTTTATGCAGACTTAATGTTTTTCAAGCCCTTGCACAGGAACACCAGACATGTGTGTCAGACATCATACCCATGAGTCTGGGGCATGATGACCTTACTCTTCAACCACACAGCTACTCTACTGCCCAACTGTAACGTCAGTACTACACAACCTGAAACTGAAGCTATGATTCACCTTTGTAGGGCTGGAACTTGCTGGTGATGGAGCTGACAGTCTCTGATATATGTTTAGGCAGGATCATACCGAACACAGCCATCCAGTGCCTGGGGAGATATAGTTTACATTCTGTATTACTGATCATCTCTGGAACATGATAGCTAAAGTAGAAATGTATCCAGAAGACAATGTGGCAATTTCACACCATGACATACATTAACCATGACTGACATGACATCAAGCACCATGACATACATTAACCATGACTGACATGACATCAAGCACCATGACATACATTAACAATGACTGACATGACATCAAGCACCATGACATACATTAACAATGACTGACATGACATCAAGCACCATGACATACATTAACAATGACTGACATGACATCAAGCACCATGACATACATTAACAATGACTGACATGACATCAAGCACCATGACATACATTAACATGACTGACATGACATCAAGCACCATGACATACATTAACAATGACTGACATGACATCAAGCACCATGACATACATTAACCATGACTGACATGACATCAAGCACCATGACATACCTTAACAATGACTGACATGACATCAAGCACCATGACATACATTAACAATGACTGACATGACATCAAGCACCATGACATACATTAACAATGACTGACATGACATCAAGCACCATGACATACATTAACAATGACTGACATGGCATCAAGCACCATGACAGACATGACGTCAAGCACCATGGCAGACATTAACCATGACTGACATGACATCAAGCACCATGACATACATTAACAATGACTGACATGACATCAAGCACCATGACATACATTAACAATGACTGACATGACATCAAGCACCATGACATACATTAACAATGACTGACATGACATCAAGCACCATGACATACATTAACAATGACTGACATGACATCAAGCACCATGACATACATTAACAATGACTGACATGACATCAAGCACCATGACAGACATGACGTCAAGCACCATGGCAGACATGATCCATGTCAGACATGACATCACGCACCACGACAGACATGATCCATGACAGGCATGACATCAAGCACCACGACAGACATGATCCATGACAGGCATGACATCAAACACCATGACAGACATGACATCACGCACCATGCCAGACATGACATCACGCACCATGCCAGACATGACATCACGCACCATGACATACATGACATCAAGCACCATGCCAGACATGACATCACGCACCATGACAGACATGATCCATGATAGACATGACATCACGCACCACAACAGACATGACATCACGCACCATGACAGACATGACATCACGCACCATGACAGACATGATTCATGACATCACGCACCATGACAGACATGATTCATGACATCACGCAGCATGACAGACATGATCCATGATAGACATGACATCAAACACCATGACAGACATGACATCACGCATCATGACAGACATGATCCATGACATCACGCATCATGACAAACATGACATCAGGCACCATGACAGACATGACATCACGCATCATGACAGACATGATTCATGACATCACACACCATGACAGACATGATCCATGATAGACATGACATCAAACACCATGAAAGACATGACATCACGTATCATGACAAACATGACATCAGGCACCATGACAGACATGACATCATGCACCATGACAGACATGTCATCACGCACCATGACAGACATGACAGACATGACATCACGCACCATGATAGACATGATTCATGACATCACGCACCATGACAGACATGACATCACGCACCATGACAGACATGACATCAAACACCATGATAGACATGGCATCAAACACCATGACAGATATGAACATCACGCACCATGACAGACATGATACATGATAGACATGACATCAAACACCATGACAGACATGACATCACGCACCATGACAGACATGACATCACGCACCATGACAGACATGACATCAAACACCATGACAGACATGACATCACGCACCATGACAGACATGATCCATGATAGACATGACACACCATGACAGACATGACATCAAACACCATGACAGACATGACATCACGCACCATGACAGACATGATAGACATGACATCAAACACCATGACAGACATGACATCACGCACCATGACAGACATGATCCATGATAGACATGACATCAAACACCATGACAGGCATGACATCACGCATCATGACAGACATGATTCATGATAGACATGACTCACCATGACAGACATGACATCAAACACCATGACAGACATGACATCACGCACCATGACAGACATGATCCATGATAGACATGACACACCATGACAGACATGACATCAAACACCATGACAGACATGACATCACGCACCATGACAGACATGATAGACATGACATCAAACACCATGAAAGACATGACATCACGCACCATGACAGACATGATCCATGATAGACATGACATCAAACACCATGACAGACATGACATCACACACCATGACAGACATGATCCATGATAGACATGACACACCATGACAGACATGACATCAAACACCATGACAGACATGACATCACGCACCATGACAGACATGATAGACATGACATCAAACACCATGACAGACATGACATCACGCACCATGACAGACATGATCCATGATAGACATGACATCAAACACCATGACAGGCATGACATCAAGCACCATGACAGACATGATCCATGACATAAAGCACCATGACAGACATGATAACACGACATGGTAGCATGACACAGACATGACAGCGGGCTTCAGAAAAGGTGGTTACAAGCAAACAGATTGGTTGTTGTTTAACGCTGCATTCAGCAATATTCCAGCAATATGGCAGCCAAACAAACTGAAGCCAACAAGGACCACAACAGAGGCATGACAAGAGGACATAAAAGCGCAACACCTAAAGCAAAATGACTGACACCAGCCCAGGACTTACTTTTTGATGGATTCCATGATGTCTACAGCAGACCAGGGGGGCTTTCTGTAGACAACAGACTTCCTAGTAACACAACCACACATGGATATATACTCATGGCAAGGATCACTGCTGAACAACTACAGCTAATTGTCTTTCAAACTCAAAAGCTATTTCACATACAAAAGGGAATTCCTTTGATTCTTTTCAGTTAATACTGTGTGTCCTATTATGTCTGTTTAGTTCAAAACTTATCATTTACTTCAGATAGTTGTACAGTAACAGAAGCGGCTGTCAGCTTTCAAAAATGACATGCTCGGGACACAATGAGTCTGTTAGTGTTTGACATCTCCCTCACCAAATGTCGTCATATGCTGCTTTCATCTCAGTCTCAAGAACCAGACCAAGTGTGTCCTTGACCACAGCCTTGACCTTCACCACCATTTCATCAATCTGCAAAAAAGGGTTCAGATATCAAACAGCCTTCACCTTGAACCTTCTTTCTGACTACAGCAACGAGTAGAGCGTCTTTTGCAAAACAAAAATATAAGATGTCCAAACTGTCAGTAATCAAGATACTGTCATAAAGCCAATGTCAGGCCAAATAATTGCCTTCCATTCACTGGAGTGTAATTTCTTTAATGTCTTTATGACTTTTCATTAATACCAAAATGTGACACCTGATGACTTCCATTCTTGTGGAAGAAGCGGTGGCAGAGTGGGTAAGATTGCAGACATTGTGTGCTAGTGATTAAGTGCCTTACTCTAAGAGTGTGGGTTCAAATCTTGGTAGAAAGAAATTGTATTCCCAAACATAACATATTCAGGGATTGCAACGGGAAAATCTATTTTCAGCTGAAAACTTATTGTGAAATTGAATGGGGGATTTGAATTGATAAATTTTAAATAGAATTGGTGGAAATCTGAGGATCAGCTGAAAATAGCCACCCCTGCATATTTTGTTTATGGATAAAAAGCATTGCATTAGACCACTTTTACAAGACACCATGCACTATTTTCATCCATAGCCTGGCACATGATTCATATGAATTAAGGAAGAAATAATATTTTTGTAATGTAGCTACAAATCTGTGACAAGTAGAAAATACCTCGGGATATTGGCAGCTATATAGATATTGCAAGGTTGAGTTCTCAGTGATTTCTTACCTGGACTCGGTTCACCTTACGACAAGGAGTGACTGATGTTGTTTGATGGTGTTTGTCTGGTGTGAGTGAGGGGCTGTGGGGGCGTGGCCCCTGTGACCCTGGTTGGGGATATGACTGTGACATGACTGCTATCTCTGGTGCTACATTTGATTCTGTCAAAATATGATGTAAATACATAACAGAACAGATGGCAAGGATATCAAATTCAGGGCGAATCCCGGATTGTTGGAGAAGGGGGAATGCACAAAGATAAATCACAATAAACTACGCTAACTGAATGAATTCACACTACCTAAGAGAGAAAGGTTGAAGTCGACATGACAGTCTTTTTCTAGAGGTATGCTATGCATAAAATAACCAAAAAATCAGGATTGATAAAGATGATATATGTTAAAAATATTCCAATAGCACTGTGTCTCACCTGGATATGCAGTCAACAGTTTAGAATATCAACAAAGACAGTCACTTAACAAAAGTGAATAAGTCAGTGGGTGAGTATAGTTTTATGTCACTTTTAGCAATATTCCTGTAATGTCATGACAGGGGGCATCAGAAATGGGCTTCACACAATGTACCCATGTGGGGAATTGAACAAAGGTCTTTGGTTTGACAAGCAAATGCTTTAACCACTAAGCTATATCTTGTAAAAATATTTTGCCATTCTGTCAGCAAAAACCTACCTTGATTGCTTCTTTGGTCTTGAACAGCATTTGACAGAACCAAGATTTCATGGATATTCTGAAACAATATCTTTCATGCTGAGAACATTCTCAACTAATTTCAAAGGTAACATATTTGTGAATGTTAAATGTAAATTGTATATTTATAATACTTATCCTATCTCACGTATTACACGCTCTTTCTCTTATGCCAACCTTGAAGTGGAAACATGCTCCTAAGCAAAGTTCCTGGCCTCCCTGAGTCCCTCGCCCGAACACTCCCCAATGCCCCCTATAATGCAGAGGATGGTGAATAAGGGATCGGTGATCCAAGAGAAACTGCCGAAGTCGAGATCGCCGATCTGAAGTGGAAAGAAGACACTGGAGCGGTCGAAGAACCCAGCAAGTTCGTAGCATGTGGATTGAAGGCCGCTGAAGAGTAGATCGCCGATCCCAGGAAGAACGCCGAACTCAAATTGCAAGTAGACTTGCTGTCTGCATGTCGAAAGCGGTTCAAGGGGGATTCAACAATCCCGGGAAGAAGATATGGGTTGAAGATTGGAGCAGGTGGCATTAAAGGTGCGCTAAAGCCTGTAGAGAAGATCAATGAACCTATAAGATTCGCTGATCCTGAGATACTCGTAGAAGAAGGTGGGATCACCGATCCTAGGGTAGTCATGTAAGAAGGAAGGAACGCTGGTCCCGTAAAAAACGCTGAAGAAAGAGGGATCCCTCACAGTAACATCGTCACTTGCATCCAAGGTAACAATGGTGGAAGGCACAATTGCCGAGTCTCTAGTGTTGTCTGCCAAAGGTGAGAAATGGGGAAACATTGAGACCGCCCGCTCTCCAGAACTATGAACGACGACTATCCGTATAGTAGCTGATGAGGACTTAAGTAGGGTCCGAGGGATGAAACAGTCGTCACAAATTCTCAGACACATAAGAAACAGATGGAGTGTCCAATAAGTCATCTTAATCCAACGAATGAGACATTCTATGCGCCTTCTTAAAGGGTCTGTGTTGAGATTTTGTAGGGGCGGACGGACCATGTTTGTCCCCTCTCTTCCAATATCTATCTGCAACTCTACGTGAGCCAACAAGGCGATATGCTGCAAAATCATCATCATTCAGGTAGGCGCAAAACTGACACCTCTTCGTCTAGGCATATAAACCTAAGCAGTATTCGCACAACAGTAAAACCACAGTCAAGAGGGACAGCCAAGCAACATGTCCGCACCCAGGTGTGACAAGAAAGAGAATGACAAGACAGGGAAGTCACATGGTTAACTGGAGGCACTAGTCAACTAGAGGTCGTAGCAAGGCACTGAACTGTCCAAGAACGTTTTAAAGGTTTTACATATTGTAATATATTCACAATCAACTAACTATGTATACCAACACACACAGAGACGTGTGGTACCTACCTTGATGCTGCCGGCTTCCAGTCCACACATCATGGCTTTGTTACACAGGTTGACATCCTCTGACAGAAGAATCACATTGGAAGCCCGAACTGCAACAGTGAGTAAGTTTAGTCTTAAGCTGCTTTTAGCAATATTCCAGCAACATTATGGTAGGGACATCAGAAATGGGCTTCACACATTGTACCCAGCGTGATGAGTGAATGCTTTAACCACTAGGCTACCCCACTGCCCCCTAACTGCAACAGCTGTGCTGAGCTGAGTATGGTTTTACGCCGTTTTTAGCAATATTCCAGCAATATCACGGCAGGGGACACCACAAATGGGCTTCACAAGTTGTACCCATGTGGGGAATCGAACCCGGGCCTTCGGCGTGACGAGCGAACGCTTTAACCGCTAGGCTACCCCACTAACTGCAACAGAGTTTAAAGTGAAGGTGTATATATATATAGAAACAAAAGTCTGGGACATTACTATCTTTGGGGACATACCTTCGGAAAATTCCTTAAAAGTAAGTCAAACCCCTAAACCACTTTTAGTCCTTAAATACCTAGCAGAAGATGCAGTCACTGATTGTTGAAACAGTATGTTATGTGGAGAGCCTTGCCCTCCAGCTAGGTAGTGCTTTTATCCATTGTAACAGCTTCTACCACTGGCTTTGTTGAGAACAAATTGATAGGTGCACAAAAGTGACTTTTCTAAAGATTACATTGGTAATACACAATGATTGTCACCTACATCTACATCGGTAGACTGTCAAACATATGCTGCCAAGCATCCACAGATGCTTAACATGTGAGTAATGAGTGAGTGAGTTTAGTTTTACGCCGCATTCAGCATTATTCCAGCTATATGGCAGCGGGCTGTAGATAATCGAGTCTGGACCAGACAATCCAGTGATCAACAGCATGAGCATCGATCTGCACAATTGGGAACCGATGACATGTGTCAACCAAGTCAGCGAGTCTGACCACCCGATCCCGTTAGTCACCTCTTACGACAAGCATAGTCGCCGTTTGCGGCAAGCATGGGTTGCTGAAGACCTATTCTACCCCGATTCTTCACGGGTCTAAAATGTGAGTAACATTTGAAGAACACATGTTGTTTATGCCCCCGTGTTGTACTGATTGGATGCTCTTATGAACAATGAAAAGTGCAACATAAAAGATGATGGAAGAAGATTTCCAAAACACAGGACTGAACACGAACTGTGGCTTAACCCATGTATGTTCAATCTCTGAAATATCACAGTCCATGTGAGTACAGCATGGTTCTGATCCAAGATAACAGGACTCATGAAAGATATAAAATGTTGAAAGTTTATTTCATATTCTCTGCACTATCACTTCATAATCGACCGCCTCCGTGGTGTAGGGGTTAGAGCGTCCGCCCGGAGAGTGGAAGGTCGCGGGCTCGATCCCCGACCGCGTCATACCAAAAAGACGTTAAAATATGGTACTTGTTGGTCCCTGCCTGGCGCTCGGCATTAATGGGTACAACAAGGACTGGTCGGCTCGGAGTCAGTATAATGTGTCTGAGTGGGGTATTCATGCTTCACTGCGGCATGGTATCTCAGTGGGCTAGCACTATAAAACCAGCTTAAGTCTGGGCTAGTACAAGCAGCCGCACATACACATACACATGCATGCACGTCGTCATATGAGCGAAATATTCTCAAGCACGACGTAAAACCCAATTTCACCTCACCTCACCTCATAATCATCATGAGCAAATGTCAAAACACAGATTCGTCTCTGCTAAATATTCAGTGAGCCTGGGAATTCAATAAATGAATCATGACAAATGAACCGTTGCCATATAGTGATCTTACACAGCTCTAGTTTATGAGGCTGTTACAGTACAAGGGGAAATGACTCACACTTGTTTCTGAACTGCAAACAACACTGTAGTACCCTGTCATCATTACATTCAATCTCCAGCCCCTCCACCGTCTCCGCAGCCTGTAACACATAGAGTATGTTCTCATTATATCCTGGACATACAGATACTACCATGACATGGCAAACATAACAGAGATGCAAGTTGCTGGGAGGATATGTGTGCCTGACAGAGAGGAGACATTAAATCCCCCACCCACCCAATGAAGCAGGTATTTGGAAGCGGACTCAAGGAAGACTGGGAGAAATAACCTCATTATGAGAATCTAGAGATCTCATTACTCTCCAAGACTCTAGGAAGCTTCCTAACATACTCACTTCTCTATGAGACTCTAGGATGTCTCCCAGTAAACTCACCTCACCATGAGACTGTCCCGTTACTCTTGGGTGTCTCTCAGTCAACTCACCTCATTATGAGACTGTCCCATTAATCTGGGGTGGCTCCCAGTGAACTCACCTCACTATGAGACTGTCCCGTTACTCTGGGCTGGCTCCCGGTGAACTCACCTCATTATGAGACTGTCACGTTACTCTGGGCTGGCTCCCGGTGAACTCACCTCATCATGAGACTGCACCTTTTCTCTGGGGTGACTCCCAGTGAACTCACCTCACTATGAGACTGCCCTGTTACTCTAGGGTGTCTCCCAGTGAACTCACCTCACCATGAGACTGTTCTGTTACTCTCGGGTGTCTCCAAGTGAACTCACCTCACTATGAGACTGTCCTGTTACTCTGGGGTGTCTCCCAGTGAACTCACCTCACCATGAGACTGTCCTGTTACTGTGGGGTGTCTCCTGGTGAACTCACCTCACTATGAGACTGTCCTGTTACTCTGGGGTGTCTCCAAGTGAAAATCACCTCACTATGAGACTATTCTGTTACTCTGGGGTGTCTCCAAGTGAACTCACCTCACTATGAGACTGTTCTTTTACTCTAGGGTGTCTCCCAGTAAACTCACCTCACTATGAAACTGTTCTTTTACTCTGGGGTGTCTCCCAGTGAACTCACCTCACTATGAAACTGTCCCGTTACTCTGGGGTGTCTCCCAGTGAACCCACCTCACTATGAAACTGTCCCGTTACTCTGGGGTGTCTCCCAGTGAACCCACCTCACTATGAAACTGTTCTGTTACTCTGGGGTGTCTCCCAGTGAAAATCACCTCACTATGAAACTGTCCTGTTACTGTGGGGTGTCTCCCAGTGAACCCACCTCACTATGAAACTGTTCTGTTACTCTGGGGTGTCTCCCAGTGAACCCACCTCACTATGAAACTGTTCTTTTACTATGGGGTGTCTCCCAGTGAACTCACCTCACTATGAAACTGCCCTGTTACTCTGGGGTGTCTCCCAGTGAACCCACCTCACTATGAAACTGTCCCGTTACTCTGGGGTGTCTCCCGGTGAACTCACCTCACCATGAGACTGTTCTGTTACTGTGGGGTGTCTCCCAGTGAACCCACCTCACTATGAAACTGTTCTGTTACTCTGGGGTGTCTCCCAGTGAACTCACCTCACTATGAGACTATTCTGTTACTCTGGGGTGTCTCCAAGTGAAAATCACCTCACTATGAGACTGTCCTGTTACTCTGGAGTGTCTCCCGGTGAACTCACCTCCCTATGAAACTGTCCTGTTACTCTGGGGTGTCTCCCAGTGAACCCACCTCACTATGAAACTGTTCTGTTACTCTGGGGTGTCTCCCAGTGAACTCACCTCACTATGAAACTGTCCTGTTACTCTGGGGTGTCTCCCAGTGAAAATCACCTCACTATGAGACTGTCCTGTTACTCTGGGGTGTCTCCCAGTGAACTCACCTCACTATGAGACTATTCTGTTACTCTGGGGTGTCTCCCAGTGAAAATCACCTCACTATGAAACTGTTCTGTTACTCTGGGGTGTCTCCCAGTGAACTCACCTCACCATGAGACTGTCCTGTTACTCTGGGTTGTCTCCCGGTGAACTCACCTCACTATGAGACTATTCTGTTACTCTGGGGTGTCTCCAAGTGAACTCACCTCCCTATGAGACTGTCCTGTTACTCTGGGGTGTCTCCCAGTGAAGCAGGCATTGATGTACTTCACAGCTCGGCTCGCCTTGCTCTGACAGCTCATGGACTGTAAGGGAGAGAAGCATCATCATTGTGGAATTTCTGTGAAATCCGTTTCTAATTACACCAAGAAAATATGTTACATCAGGTGATATCTTAAAAAGTATTCAAAATAAACCAATGAGATTATCTGCTAAAAATGCAACTTCTGATTTGCACTTGCTCATTTAAAGGCAGCCATATTTGGTTTTCTCTCAAGATGCCTTAAAGATTACCTGGCAGTGCAGTCTGTTTGTCTCCAAATGAGAATGATGAGTTGCAAAATGGTCCATATTTAATGTGAATTTGGTACACAGCAGTGAGCACTCTTTACCAAACAATATAATGCTGTTTATTATTTTCATACCCATGGAAAATAGTGTTTAAGAAACTATCATGTTACGTGTTAAACTTGACATCTTTTAACACCCCTGTAGATACGGGTTAGAACTGGTCTTCAGCAACCCATGACTGTCGCAAGAGGTGACTTATTGGATTGGGTGGTCAGGCTCTCTGACTTGGTTGACACATGTCATCATATCCTGACTATGTAGGGTGATGCTCATGATGTTGATCACTGGATTGTCTTGTCCAGACTCGATTACTTACAGACCACCGTCATATAGCTGGAATATTGCTGAGTGGGGCAGTAAACAAGAAACAAACAGAGAGAGACATCCTCAAAGGATGGGGCCCAGTGTTAGGAGGAACAGTTCGTCTTATGCTGATTTTCAGAAGATAGGCTGAATAAGTTAAACTTCGTCCACATGCTAAGGTCAAGATACATTAATAAGGTGACACATTAATTTCAGGATTTACAGTATAATCACAGTGTTGTTTGTCCCAAAGGAGCTTTTGTGCAATTCACCACAAGGTGGAATTTGTCAAAGACATTTTTTAGGCTTTTGTCCTTCCCCCAAACAACTGTCAACATACAAGAGAGAGCCGTGCCCGGTTGTCCTTGAGAGCATCGAGTTCCTGCAGCACCACCCAGGGAAACACCAGCGTTGGCAGCCCGAACCCTGCAACACAAGAGTCACTGAGTCCAGTGTCTTTCACAAACACACATCAGCAGAGTTTACAAGCTTTCACCCAAAACCCAGTCGGAAACACAGTATATTGTTCTGGATATGACATAGCACATGTTTCAACTATGATACTAAATACAAGTTGTAAGTGAGTATGGTTGTGCGCCGCTGTTAGCAATATTCCAGCAATATCACGGAAGGGGACACCAGAAATGAGCTTCACACATTGAGGGGAATCAAACCTGGGACTTCGGTGTGATGAGCGAACCATTAGGCTACCTCACCACCCCTAAATACAAGTAAGTGCAGAAGCTGAGTGTATGGTTTCAAACACTTATCAATCTCAGTTATAAAAAATATAGCATGCATTAGTGATGGAACTTCATTTACATTGGGAAACAAGTAGCTCGTGTATGTAATGTATGTTTATGTATGGGATTACACTTTGTCATTTACGTATACATTCTAGTACTTTTGGGGGGTTTGGTCCCATCTGAGATTGAACCCACAATCTCAGGGTAAGCACTAAACGTCAGTACTTGTATGACAGCACTTGTATGACATGAGATGCAAGGTAGGCCACACAGCTTGATGCCTTCAATACCCTGACATTAGATACAAGGGAAGGGAGCAATCCCTGTTAGGAGCTTTCAGTAAAGATCCAACTCTGATACCATGTCACAATCTAACACCCTACATTGAAAACTGACTCTTCAAAACGTGTGTCCATCTATGTGCTTGTCCTCCTCCTGATGAGAAGGCAAAGCTTGTGTCACATAACAATGAATAATGTTCGTATCACCTTGTATTTCCTCATCATGCAGGTCAGAGAGAGGCTTCAGATGACCGATCATCACACTTGTGTCCACCACCAGACAGAGGCCCTGGAACAGAAAACCACACTGACACTCACACAGGTGTTAATAACCTGACACATGGGCAGAGAACCACACCTGGCAGACTGACACTCACACAGGTGTCAACTACCAGATACAGGTGACTGACACTCATACACGGGTGTCCACCACCAGGTACAGGTGCCTGACAATGACACCTGGCAAACTGACACTCACACAGGTGTCCACCACCAGATACAGGTGCCTGACAATGACACCTGGCAAACTGACACACACAGGTGTCCACCACCAGATACAGGTGCCTGACAATGACACCTGGCAAACTGACACTCACACAAGTGTCCACCACCAGATACAGGTGCCTGACAATGACACCTGGCAAACTGACACTCCTCACACAGGTGTCAACCACCAGATACTGATGCCTGACAATGACACCTGGCAAAACTGACACTCACACAGGTGTCCACCACCAGATACAGGTGCCTGACAATGACACCTGGCAAACTGACACTCACACAAGTGTCCACCACCAGATACAGGTGCCTGACAATGACACCTGGCAAACTGACACTCACACAAGTGTCCACCACCAGATACAGGTGCCTGACAATGACACCTGGCAAACTGACACTCACACAAGTGTCCACTACCAGATACAGGTGCCTGACAATGACACCTGGCAAACTGACACTCACACAGGTGTCAACCACCAGATACTGATGCCTGACAATGACACCTGGCAAAACTGACACTCACATGATACAAGTGCCTGACAATGACAAAACTGACACAGGTGTCAACCACCAGATACAGGTGTCCACCACCAGATACAGGTGCCTGACAATGACACCTGGCAAACTGACACTCACACAGGTGTCCACCACCAGATACAGGTGCCTGACAATGACACAGGTGTCCACCACCAGATACAGGTGCCTGACAATGACACCAGATACTGGCAATGAACCTGACACTCACACAAGTGTCCACCACCAGATACAGGTGCCTGACAATGACACCTGGCAAACTGGCTACCCACACAGGTGTCCACCACCAGATACAGGTGTGACAATGACACCTCTGACACCACACAGATACCAGATACTGATGCCTGACAATGACACCTGGCAAAACTGACACTCACACAGGTGTCCACCACCCACCAGATACAAGTGCCTGACAATGACACCTGGCAAACCACCACCAGATAGGTGACACTCACACAGGTGTCCACCACCAGATACAGGTGCCTGACAATGACACCTGGCAAACTGACACTCACACAAGTGTCCACCACCAGATACAGGTGCCTGACAATGACACCTGGCAAACTGACACTCACACAAGTGTCCACCACCAGATACAGGTGCCTGACAATGACACCTGGCAAACTGACACTCACACAGGTGTCAACCACCAGATACTGATGCCTGACAATGACACCTGGCAAAACTGACACTCACACAGGTGTCCACCACCAGATACAGGTGCCTGACAATGACACCTGGCAAACTGACACACACAGGTATTCACCACCAGATACAGGTGCCTGACGCTCATACACAAGTGTCCACCACCAGATTCTGATGCCTGACAATGACACCTGGCAAACTGACACCCTCACACAGGTGTCCACCACCTGACACCTGGACAGAGAACCACATCTGTTATATCTATGACACTTTCTCTAAGTAAATACTATCATTTGTAATGCAAACGCAGATTAAAATTTAAATATGTTTCAACTGACAAAACATATATCATAACCTATAAGTGGTTTATAATTTCAAACAAAGATCATTCTATGTTTCAGGATCTCACCTGTGAGACTGTTTCACTCTGTGTAGCAGGACATGGTGGAGACAGGTAAAACTCTGACTGCAACAGAAAACACACACATGTGGCAGCACACACAACCAAGGCCATCGACTGACTGAGTTTGGTCTTACACCGCTTTTAGCAATATTCCAGCAACATCACGGCGGGGGACACCAGAAATGGGCTTCACACATTGTACCCATGTGGGGATTCAAACCTGGGTCTTCGGCGTGACGAGCCAACGCCTGAACCATTAGGCTACCCCACCGCCCCCCAAGGCCATTGAAAGAAGCACAGGGGTTCCAACCAAGAGGGCATTGGGCTTAGTTATAGCATTTGCTTGTAACCCTGAAGCCCACTTTTGTGTATGTAAACCCCTGTATCTTCCTGTACATTGTCAGTGTGAGGAGACATGGGTGCTTACAAACATTACTCTCACATTAGAATGAGTGAGTGAGTTTAGTTTTACTCGGCAATATTCCAGCTATATGGCGGCGGTCTGTAAATAATTGAGTATGGACCAGACAATCCAGTGACCAACAACATGAGCATTGATCTGCGTAATTGGGAACCGATGACATGTGTCAACCAAGCCAGCGAGCCTGACCACCATATCCCGTTAGTCGCCTCTTATGACAAGCATGGGTTACTGAAGGTTCATTTTAACCCGGACCTTCATGGGTGCTCGCATTAGAAGCTGGACAAGAGGCACTTACAGGAACAGGGTCCCTAATACTAAGAATACAAAGGCATACAGACTTTTTTGTTTATTCGTTATTTGAACCGACATCAAGTCTCTTTATTAGCAACATTCCATTTCTTGTCTGACTACAACCCTTCAGTTTGGAAAACAGAATATGGTTGGCTGGTAGTTTAAAGCCGCACTCAGCAATATTCCAGCTATATGGTGGTGGTCTTATTTCAGGTACACATTTAGTTTGAATTTGGGAATCACATGTAACACATGTTACTACAAAAGATCCCACATATTACCACACCTACCTGACTAGAACTGAGCTCCAACTCTCCTCTGACTTCTTGAAGCTGAAACAAGCAAAGATGATAAAGCAGTTATACAAATGGCAATCTATAAGTTGGTTGTTTTAAATTACAAAAAAGGACTGATACTAAATCACCAGTTTCCACACAACAGACAAAGTGTCCAAGAGCAGAATATAACATTTAACATGTACTTAATATTTATAAAAGTTAAAACATTTATGTACTATCAGTTTATGGACAGTGTTAAGTTTGAATGCTGAAAGATTATTGGTGCTGTTTACATCTATAACCATCTGTTCCTCATCTGTGTCTTCGTCCACCTCCATGTCACAGATCTCTGCCTCATTATGGGGATGTCCCTGGAAGGCTGAAACATGCACCACATCATACTGTACAGACAGACTTAATGAATCCTGCTATACTCCTGCTTTAACAATGAGACTTGTAATTAACATACCACTGGCCAGGCAAAGACAGCAACATATCTGAGGTATGATGACTCAGAACCAGGCCACGCTCTGAAGCTTCATGCTATTCCTCATTATTTCTTGCTGTAGGTACCACACAATGGCTGACTGACTGAGTTTGGTTTTACGCCGCTTTACCACACAATGGAAAATGTCTAATTTAGGTTAACGTTGCAACCTATCCTAAACAAGTGACTAATCCTTACTCAGATAAAGATTACCCAGAGGCAGATGACAATTCTAACCCAGGTCATGAGGACCAATCCTAACCCAGGTCATGAGGACCAATCCTAACCCAGGACATGAGGACCAATCCTAACCCAGGCCATGAGGACCAATCCTAACCCAGGCCATGAGGAGCAATCCTAGCCCAGGTCATGGGGACCAATCTTTACCCAGGTCATGAGGACCAATCCCAACCCTGGCCATGAGGACCAACCCTAACCCAGGTCATGAGGACCAATCCTAACCCAGGCCATGAGGACCAATCCTAACCCAGGCCATGAGGACCAATCCTAACCCAGGCCATGAGGACCAATCCTAGCCCAGGTCATGGGGACCAATCTTTACCCAGGTCATGGGGACCAATCCTAAACCAGGTTATGAGGACCAATCCTAACCAAGGCCATGAGGACCAATCCTAGCCCAGGTCATGGGGACCAATCTTTACCCAGGTCATGGGGACCAATTCTAAACCAGGTTATGAGGACCAATCCTAACCAAGGCCATGAGGACCAATCCTAACCCAGGCCATGAGGACCAATCCTAACCAAGGCCATGAGGACCAATCCTAACCAAGGCCATGAGGACCAATCCTAACCCAGGTCATGGGGGACCCTAACCCAGGCCATGAGGACCAATCCTAACCCAGGTCCTAAGGACCAATCCGAACCGAGATGCAAACAAGCATTGCCACTAAGGTGGCATAATCCCCCGCCGCAAATTATGAAATCAAACTTAAAAAGTAATGAAAGTTTAAGATGAAGTTAAATGTCAACAAAAACATGACCAGTCAACCTTTCTTGATATCTTCTCTTTAGTTGTTAAAACACACAAATATTTTCAAGACTGACTTTGACCTTGACATGAATGTCATAGTGTATGAAATATGCAACACTGGTAGTAAAGAAATTGCTTATTGAAAAACATTCAAGTGAAGTCTTGAAAGTCTATGAAGAAAATCCAGTGAATTCAGGTTAACATGAAAAAATCTTCTAAGTGTCGCAGTGACCTTGAAAATTATGTGAAGGTCACCAAAATTGACTGGGCCCTGAACCTTTATTAGATGAAGCTTGCTGTCAAATATGAAAAAATATCCAGTGAATGTTTTTTGTGATATCTTGCTGACTATCTTAACATGCAGGTTAACATAGTGAAATCTTCAAAGTGTCTTTGTGACCTTGAAAACTAAGTGAAGGTCACCAAAATTGGTTTGACCCTGCGCCTTCCCTAGATAAAGCTTGGTGTTGAATATGAAGAAAATCCAGGGAACGGTTCTTAAGATAGCTTAACATGCAGGTTAACGTGCTGAAATCTTCAAAGTGTCGCCATGACCTTGAAAATTACGTGAAGGTTACCAAAATCAACTGGGCCCTGCGCCTTCCCCAGATAAAGCGTGGTGTTGAATATGAAGAAAATCTATAGAGCGTCAACTTAACTTTTGGCACCCTGTTTTTCACAATTTACATAAAACTCCTGAATATTGTAAAACACTGCTCTGTTCATATGGTAATTGTATACCGTGACCTAACAAGATATCGATTTTAGTAATTTTAACACGATTATTAAAGATTTTGCCTTTAAAACTGTCATATAATAATTGTAAAACTGTGGAGAGTTTTACGAGGGGTTAACACACCTGACGGAAAAGCCAACAACACTGTAAAATCTGTGTCAGCATGATATGTACGTGCACGGGTATTTACATTAGCACGCTTAAGTGATGTCAAGATCGTCAACACGCACAGGTTGTAGGGAAAACGATGTTGTACAAAGATGACCGGCAAATCATCAAAAGAGTTTACAACTTTTTCAAGCACGAGGCAAAGCGAAAAAAAAAGCTCTTTTTTTTTAATTGTATGTTTCTCCAGATGACATTTAATGCCACGAAGATCTGCAAAAGAATATTGCAAAGAGTTATCTCCCATGACACTATTTCAGAGCCTGACGATTACATGGCAGTTAAATCGGGGACCTTGCGGGGACCTTCTCAAAACATGCAAAGAAAACAAAGCTTGATGAATTCGATAGAAGGGTTGTGAGGGACATCATGCGTCGGTTACATCGATCCATATTGTCAAGCAAACTGAAAAAAATATTGTTCAAACGAAGACCATGACATCATTGTATCAAAGCATACCATATGCAAGCTGTTGCTCAAATTTGGATATAGATACAAAAGATCAAGCAACCAGTCTTTACAGACTTGTTTAAAATGGATTTATGATGAATATACAGTCCCTGTAGATTTGCTTGCAGGCGTAACAATGTAAACAAGATGCACGCGTGTCACACCATGTTGTTGGCTGTTCCATCGTAACATTTTACTCCCTTGTATAACTACTTCTATTTTTCATATTTTTATAAGATGGCTTCTTAAGAAGAAGCTTTAATAATTGACATAAAATTATGAAATTTAAACCTTGGATAGGTCATAAGATATAAAAAGCGTATGCACAAAAACATTTTGAAGGCATTTTTGGTTAAAAGGTAAATTGTGAAAAACAGGGTGCCAAAAGGCAGTTGACTGACTATAGTGAGTGGCTCTTGAGATATCTTGCTGACAAGAATAAACCGTTCAAGTCCCATTGTGATCTTGAAATAAAGGTCAAGGTCACCAAACCTGACTGGGACCTTTCTTATACTGTGATGAACATAGGTACAAAATATGAAAAGAATCTAGTCAACAGTTCTTAAGATATTCTAATTCATGTGTATGTACGGACGGACGGATGGAGCCTAACACTACATCCCCCGCTTCCCCCAAACACGGGGGATAATAACCAATCCTAACCTAGTCTAGAAGGACCAATCCTAACCCAGATGCAGATGACCAATCCTAACCCAGGTCATGGGAACCAATCCTAACCCAGGCCATGAGGACAATCCTTACTCCAAAGTTCCACCTAAATGAGACACCATGCGGAAAGCAGGAACAAAGTAGTGTTTCCAAGGATACTAATTTACCTTGCACTGAATCAGGAGCCTGAGACCAAACCGGTGTTTCTGGTTGGACCTCCTGACAGCCCTTGATAAGATCTACCCACTCTTGGACACGATCAAGTCTATCTGCCTGTGATGGGGGGCAAGCCCCGGGGGGGTCTCCAGGGGCGCTGTTGTTAGTGTTAGGCTCACTGTCCGATGAGACCACCCTCCTGATGTCTGGTCGATGATTAGGTTTCTGTGTCCTGACTGCAGGGTCTCTCCCTGGAATGCTCAATGGACTAACTTTACTTGGAACATTCAATCTTTCAAACACAGATGATTGAACACCAACACTTGAGGTAGTTTGATTGTCAAGGTGAAGATGTTCTGCTACCGTTTCATCTTCCACATTCAGGTCGAATGAATCACCCGATGAATGTCGGCTACTTTTAGCAGTCTTCCTTCTTTCAGGACTTAATATAACCTTCCTCTTCTCTCCAACTGATATTCTGAAAGACAATGTACCTTTTGCCGCAATTTTTTCAGGTACAACATCATCAGTGGAAGAATTTGAAATCCTTCTTTTACGTGTCAACAAACCTTTGCTCGATGAACTACGTATGCTCTCACGCACTATGTCCTGTTTCAATAGCACTTGATTAGAAGACTGACCTGCCTTAGCAGAGGTAGGGGATTTGTCCTGCGTTATTTTATGCTGCAATGCACACACCACTTCTCTCTTGCCAGCATGTCTCTTCTGTGGCAGTGGAGATTTGTCCTCTGTTTTCCTTTGCTGAGATGAACAGACCACCTCTCTCTTGCCAGCATCTCTTCTCTGTGGAAGAGGAGATGTATTTTGGGTTTTGAAATGCTGAGATGAACAGACCACCTCTCTCTTGCCAGTATCTCTCCTCTGTGGAAGAGGAGATTTGTCCTCTGTTTTCTTTTGCTGAAATGAACTGACCACCTCTCTCTTGCCAGCATCTCTCCTATGTGGTGATGAGTATTGCTCCATCCTCTGAATACTAGAAACAGAATCACTTTTCGACGACACTTTCTTCTTGGAAGTTTTAACATTATCAGAAGACTCAACACCTTTTCTGATTTCTGATAACACTCTGGAAATATAAAAGGAGTGTTGCCGGTCAGCTTGTGCAAACTTCCTTGACTTGTCATTCACTTCCTTTTTCAACACTAATTTTGATACAGGTGTCTCTATTTTGAATTTAACCCGAGGAACTTTCTCATCAGGCTTAGACTTAAACTCCTTCACAAACACTTTCTCCCTATCCTTGTGCTTGTTAGTGTTCTCTGGACATTTTCCAGGTGATACCTTTGGCAGATGTCCAGGTGAAGATTCTTCTTTGACAGGCTTTACAAGTTCATCTTTGTTGTGAGATGGCGAGTTGGAAATGACATGATCATAGATGTTCTTCTGGAACTGACTAAACACAGGTTCATTCTTGGGGTCAAGTTTCTCTTCTTCACTGTAGTACGGGGAGTCCTCTGAGGAATCGGTCGGAGAGCAGCGGGGACTGCATGGTGGACTGAACTGCATTCTTCCTGCTTGATGAGCTGCAGGCTTAGCCACCTGAAATATAAGTAAAACAGTTTCTGAACCATGAAAATGCTTGCAATAAACAAATTCATTTACTGAATACTAGGCATGTGAAGGAATGAGTGAGTTTGGTTTTACGCCACTTTTAGCAATAATCCAGCAATATCTCAACAGGGGACACCAGAAATGTGGGGATATTATTTCCCTCCTCTCTGTATTTGTGCTGCTGGCAATATATGTAAACAGAGTTAACAGGGTGAAGTTTCACTGACAAGTATCAACTGTATTTATGTAAGAGTCAGATCAGCTGTTAGTATTGGAAAAAGCTTTATGTATGGAACTATAGCATATGGTTGATCCTCATACATTTTATAAGTTTATTTCATTATATTTTACATAAAGTCCTTCCAATCATTTTTGGTGAGGTGAGTGAGTGAGTGAGTTTAGTTTTATGCCACTTTTAGAAATATTTCAGCAATATCACGGTGGTGGACACCAGAAATGGGCTTCACACATTGTACATGTGGGGAATCGAATGTGATGAGCGAACGCTTAACCACAAGGATGCCCCACTGCCCCTCGAGGTGAGGTGAGGTGTGGTGAGCCAGGTGAGGTGAAAAGATGTGAGCATTAAGACGTGTACATGTGTGTTTGCTTGTACTAGATCAGATAAATGCCATCCTTATAGTGCTTCCCACTATGATACCATTTGGCAGAAAACCATAGATGCCCCATTCTGACACAGTATACTGACTCCAAGTCAGCCAGTCCTTGTTTTATAACCTCAAAGGCAAACTCAAGGCAGGGAAACAACAAATACTACCTCTTATCAAGTGCTGAAGTGATAGATCAAATAATAGGTCAAATTATCATCTTGTTTGCACCAGTAAGTATCAATGAGTTCAGGAGATTAGAGATATGCTTAAAATATGAAACATAAAATTCAACTTGAGAATGTATGTTTCTTATTGTTATGTTTATTAAATCAAGACAAACAATTGATGCAGATTCCAGACTGCAATGTAAACAACACACTTATGTGCGTATCTCAACAGGACTGACTGACTGACTGACTGAGTTTGGTTTTACGCCGCTTTTAACAATATTCCAGCAACATCACAGCAGGGGACACCACAAATGGGCTTCACACAATTTACCCATGTGGGGATTCAAAACCCGGGTCTTTGGCGTGACGAGCCAACACTTTAACCACTAAGGCTACCCCACCGCCCCAATCACAACAGGAAGTATCCCCAATCGTCTCCTTAGTGACATTAATCGGTGCCTGTTATGAACGTGCCCCAAATGAAGTTTGTAGAGGGGTTTACTACAACCAAGGATTTACAGGATGCGAATTCCTGCGTCCCATACACATAAAAATTGACAATGGACGCAACAAAATTTATTAGTGCGTCCACAGGGACTCAGAAAAAGTCCAAATACTTTTTGTAAAAATTCCAATCAAGTGACAATAAGTTATCAGTAAGTTTGCTACTAGTTGGGTTATGGTATTATTTGCAAGTTAATTACTGTAATAATGTGATGATCATGATACACAATACAATAACAGTATTAATTACCCCCATTTTGTTGACCAGGATCCCTGAAAATTAAGAGTATGAGTCCCAGGGACCCTCAAATACAGGACTGAAGGTAAATCCCTGGACAACAATCGATTATTCATCAATAACTGATTTCAGATTATTGATCTGCATATTGAGAACAATAATCACCACCACTTTTAACAAATTTTGTTGACATGGTCAAATACTGAACCGCCAACCTTCCCTTCTCAAAGCACTGACTGACTGACTGAGTTTGGTTTTACGCTGCTTTGAGCAATATTCCAGCAACATCACGGCGGGGAACACCACAAATGGGCTTCGCACATTGTACCTATGTGGGGATTCGAACCCGGGTTTTCGATGTGACGAGCCAACGCTTTAACCACTAGGCTACCCCACCAACCCCCTTCTCAAAGCAGATTCAATGTGCTACACTACTGAGGTGGACTGTAAGGGGTTCGGGGTGAGAGTGAGTGGTGTTTAACAGCAAAAGTGTACATTATTCAGAATATTACAGACCAGTCATCACAATCTGGGGAAGTCTGTGAAGCAGCACATCCTAGTACAGACAAGGGATGCAACACTGCATAGTTGATTTCACTTCTCCAAAGTGCATCATCAATTAATGCAATGGCAATAATTCATTTGTTAGGTTGTTCACAGTCATATCTCAACTTTATCCAAGGTAAGATTACAGAATAGCTGATACCTTCCACCATATTTGAAAGTTTACGGGTAAAATTACAAAGTAGTGGATACCTTCCGCACACTTGGAAAGTTCACGGGTAAAATTACAGAGTAGTGGATACCTTCCGCCATCTTTGAAAGTTTACGAAATATTACTGGAAGGGTTAGGGTAGTTTATGTACAATAGCTATATGTTGTAGTTATCTACTATTCTGTAAGTGTACCTTATCCAATACCACTGAACTCGAGGAAACAAATCTGAGTTGCCACCACTCAGTATATTCATCTTCAGCCACAACTGCACAACTCACTTGGTTAGTTTTGACAAGATGAGGCATTTCCCATGTTGTCACTCCGCTGTGAGTGTTGAAGTAGTACACACGTTCTGGGTATGTTGACGACTGTTTCACAATCCAGCCAAATGGGAGCGACGGTTTTTCCCGACTCATTTTGTGTTATTTCTTTAACCACACCCATGCCTCCATCTGTAACAAATAAACATTATAAACATACAGTTTCCAAATGGAACATCTCATAGTCACTTGTACATCTCCTATGGGTGTCAATTAAAATTCAGTCAATACTCATTTTGTTTTCTGACGTCCATTCTACACGAATTCCCAAGTGCATATTCGACCTTGTATTGTTAGGGATACTTTGGACATATCTATGTTGTAAAGGTATGACTGATGAAAAGTAAACAGAGTTCAATAGTGTTTGAGAAGTGAATGACATACCTTTAGTCCAAAATCAATTCAAACAAGGAGTTGAAATGCTCATATATTCACACCGCTTTAGTTGTCATGTTGTCAGTTAGTGAACATTTTTTTTATACCCAGTTCTTATCCTCACAGTGGCCCTATTGGCAAGACTAACAAAAGCTCTAGATTGATCTGATAAGCATTATACTCTACTTGTGTACTAGTGTGATATATATAAACATTCTATTCAATTCTTATACTTCTTTACAAAAACAAAAGAATATCACAGTTGACAAGAATTATGCAATTATGGCATATATATAATCAGAGATTTACAGGACGCGAATTCCTGTGTCCTATATGCATAATGGATGCAACATAGTTTATTAGTGCGTCCACAGGGACTCGGAAAAAGTCCAAATACTTGTAAAAATTCCAATCAAGTGACAATATGTTATCACTGAGTTTGGTACTAGCTGGGTTATGGTATTATTTGCAATTTAAATACTGTTGTCCAGGACCCCTGAAAATTAAGAGTATGAGTCCCAGGGACCCTCAAATACAGGACTCAAGGTAAATCCCTGAATTTAATCATTTTAAATAAATAAACTTTTTCCCTAAGACGACCAAACACCCGGAGCAATTTGACCAAATTCGCTGGGGTAATCGAGTACTCAGTGTGTGTGTTCAAAAGTCGCCTACGGCTTCGTTCGGTACTAAACCCAGCCATTCCAACGCAAGATTGCCCACAAACCAACTCAACACATGTGCAGCAGCAGAATCAATTGATGTTTTAAAACCTTGTGTCAATTATTCATAAAATGTAACCCGTATGAAACCTGATGATTCAAATACCATTTTCCAGTGAAAATATGCCATTTCTTATGACTCCAGATTCACAAATACGCTATCTATCGCCTATTATTATCAAAGCCCCCCACATTTCGCTCATCTTCCTTTACCTCACAGTTCTCCATCCAAATTTTAGTGTGTGCATATCATAGCGACATGACATTAATTATTTCTTGTCCTGTTATAATTCATCTATGCCCCTGATTACAGTCTTAGTGCCTGTCCTATAAATACGTACCGTTATTGCTTTTTATTATTGTGTAAACAACATGGGATGTTCTGACTTCCACAAAACCACATGCCGGTAAATACCAAAACACTGGCAGGAGTTTCGCACGAAACGAAATTGTCACCAGGCACATTCTTAACAACTGGTTATATTTTCATAATGGTATCTCCCACGTTGATGTTATAAACTTCATTTTGCTGCAAATGAACTGAAGATAAAGGTTTAAATTTCATCTCGAATATTCCGAATAAACCGATGAGCTTTCAAAATATTCTCCAAGACATTTGCGCATGTCTTGAAGTTCCGGATAAATCTATTAAGTATTCAAATACATGTATCGTACGTATTTCTACGATCTTCGAAGCTTCCGAAAGGACATTTGCGTATTTTTTTTCTATAATAATCTCGTAATAACGACTTATAATCTCCTTATTACGACTTTCAAAACTCGTTATATAACGACTTTTAATAGTCGTTATAACGACTCTTTATTGTCGTAATAACAACCTTTTAAAAATCTCCTGGAACTGGGTTGTCGCCTACAACCTCGTCAGTCACCTTTTTTAGCAATGGAGCTGTAGATTTGCCAAGGCTGCTTCCTTCTACTAGGCTGTATGGGATGGGAGGGTGGTGAAGAACCCTGGTCCTGGACTACAGTTTCATTGCCGTCTTCCTCAATGGACAGTTCCATCGATCTCTCAGCGAAATTGAAGACTTCTCCCACAGCACCACATTCCACATGCATATCAGAAGTGTTAAGTTCGCCAGCAGAGCTTCCTAGTGTGAATGAGAATCTTCCAACTTCGATCTTGAAATAACATCTAAAATCATTAATTAAGAAAACATTGCGATAGTAATTAAACAGCTCAAAGTACTACATAAGAAAACACTTCAATGTACGGGATAAAGAAATCTCAAAATATTAAATAAGTAACAATCTCAAAGTATCAATTAAGAAAGAATTTCAAGAACAATACTCATTAATATGAAAATAAGATAATTAATGGCGATTTTGACTTTTTCTGTGGCCATTTTGACTAGGGGTTGTGGCCATTTTGACTTTTTTGTGTGGCCATTTTGACCTGGTCCCTATGCAATGTCCCTTCAAGAGCTTCGTATATTTCAGATGAAGTTCTAGTAACCGTTTTTAGCATTCACCACAAAATTCCAAAATATGGCTAATTGTCTGTCATCATATAGGCGGCGTTGGGGTAGCCTAGTGGTTAAAGCGTTCACTCGTCACACCGAAGACCCGGGTTCAATTCCCAACAAGGATACAATGTGTGAAGCCCATTTCTGGTGTCCCCCGCCGTGATATTGCTGGAATATTGCTAAAAGCGGCGTAAAACCATACTCGTTCACTCACTCTGTCATTATAAACGTCCTCATGCCATGTAGTATTATGACAATGCCAGGAATATTTGGCCCTGACTCGACACCCGAGTGACTTTTGATATCAAACATATCGACACGAGTCGACAAAATATAGAACTGCGGGGTTTGACTATACATGCTGATATATACTATTTCAAAAAAGAAACGCACAACCCAGAAATCTGTTGCGAAAATGTTGTAGTTTCAAAGATGTATAACTCGTCCACAAATAGACTTTAGGAAATGATTTTTTGCATCAGTTTAGAAGAAGGAAATGTCTATACAACCAAGTGGATAATTTTAGATAACGGGGACGTTGAGCGCCATGATGACGATGTATCACCGGCCCGACGTCGGATCTCCTGGCAGTCCAACCTCTCTCAACCTGTTCCGTACAGTTTGACCGGATATCCTCCGAAGTCCAGGCACCCTGGCTGCTGTGGTCTCACCAGTGGAAGTACGATCACGCAAATGTAGTACCCGGATGTACCGATTTGGGGCTACAATGGTGACTCGAGGTCTGCCTGTACGGGGAGGGTCATTTGTTCTGCCTGTTTGGTTGTAACGAGCTGCAAGCCGTGATATCGTGCTCAGACTAACATTCAGACCCCTGGAAACAGAACATTGGTAATCTCTAGCGTGCATTCTTTCAATGGCGATGTTCCGTGTAGCAGCGTCTAGACTTGGCCTAGTGATGTGACCTTGAAACTCCTTCAAAACGAATGCCGATTTCCGAAAGTAATCTGGATTTTTATAGCCAGACAGTGCATGCTCTTTGCTGCACAATTTCAACTAGAAGGTGATTTCTGTTGCGTTGTGGTGATGCCTTTTTAATCTTGGAAGCCCAAGGGAGAGCACTCTGGTATGTGATTTTGATAAAGGTGACATGAATTCGCCTGAACACTCGACAGTGAGCGTTTGAAACTCCGGCCATGGACTCTTTAGTTGTAACATTTTATGTTGGAACGTGGAAGGACTCCACAAACATATCAACAATGCTTACTCTGATTTCGGCGAGTTGTGCATATCGTATGATTTGATAGGTCTACGTGAGACATATGCCCGTGATAAAAGGATTTTGCAGATTTCTTGGATGGATATCATGTATTCAATTCTGTACGCGTCAAAACGAACCGTCTAGGAAGACACAGTGGCGGAGTTTCAGTTTTTATAAGGAAATCACTTATGGGTGATGATTTGATCAATCGTATATGTGATACCTTTTGCGGTGTTGTTGTGTTATTGTTTAAGACCTCCAGACTTGGACTTGATCGTGACCTTATTATGATGTTTGTATACATCCCACCAGAGAACTCCCCCGACACTTTGGACATGGGTAGCATTACACGACTCGTTAGTTATATGGAACTTGTCAAACAGTTGTATGACAACCACCACTATATGCTAGCTGGTGACTTCAACGCCAGAAGGAGAGACTTCTTAGACTATATAGCAAGTGATGATCTTACACATATCATGGGTCGGGACTGGGATGATTACCCATCTGATAGCTTTGATATGCCTAGAACTAATCGCGACAATATACATTATAATACCTATGGTGTGAAGTTAGCTAACCTATGTTGTCTATTTGATATCCATGCTTTGAATGGAAGGTTGTTTGAGGATGTACAGGGTGACATTACTTGTGTTACTCACACTGGTTTTAGTGTAGTTGATTATGTGTTGGCCTCAAGAGATTTATTTCCATACTTTACTGATTTTAGAATATTATCTCGTGATGATTCCTCACATTTTCCGCTGTCTTGTACACTTTCTTGGAAATCTGACAGAATATTTGAAGCTAATTCCTTAGTTAGCTTTGATAAGTCAGATGTAGTATCTAATCATTCTAATTGTGAGTCTGTGGTGAAATATGTTTGGAATTAAGAACTAGCAACAGTATTTTTGATTAAGTTTCAAGATCTGTTTCTTCAATCTTGTGATTGTTTACATGCTTTAGCTAAAGATAATACTTTAAAGTGTATAGTAGATATTACATGTTTATATCAGTCAGCTGCTAGTGTTATGAAGAAAAGGTATCCATTACGTCAAGTCACAACTAATGATGTCACTCAACCACCTTGGTGGGACGAAGAACTGGAGGATTAAAAACATAGAAAATACACAACATTGAACAATTATCGAAAGTGTGGCCTCAATTTCGATCTGTATAGACAATTAAGAAATAGATTTAAGAGGTTATTTTGTGTTAAGAGAGAAGTTTTTCAGAGCCAACAGAAAATGCTACTTGTAAATGCCAGATGTGACCCTAAAAGATTTTGGGAAGTATAAAGAGAGATAGGATTATTATGTCCTTGCCCAAAAAATATTCCTATAGATAATTGGTCTAGATATTTTCATAATTTGTTATATGTTTTTCGTGAGAATGAAGGTAGTAATTCTCAGGAAATCTCTCATTTTCATTTCATGCCATCTTGTGAGGATGTAAATGCTTCAACGTGTAATTTAAATGTACCTATCACAGAACACGAAGTAAAGCAGAGCTTGGCAAATTTAAAAATGGGAAAATCCCCAGGTGAAGATGGCATACAAAGTGAATTTTTGAAGTCCACTATTTGTTACATTGTACCAGTATTGACTAGAATATATAATAAACTGTTTCATGATGGAATATTTCCCACTGAATGGGTAAAAGTATAATTTGCCCATTACATAAATCAGGTAATAAGAATGACATAGGAAATTATAGAGGAATTTCATTAATTGCTACTCTAAGTAAAACTCTAGCTGCTATCTTGAACAAAAGGCTTCATTTACGGTGTGATGAGAACCATGTCATCTCCGAACTCCAGGCAGGTTTTAGGCCTGGTAACTCCACTATCGATCAGGTATTTACTTTGCAAGCAATGATTCAGAAACACATATCCACGAAAAAAAGGCAGATTCTACTGCATTTTTATAGATTTTAGTAAAGCGTTTGATTGTGTAAACCACAATGTTCTGTTTAAAAGTTTATACAATATAGGTGTACGAGGTAAATTTCTTGATTTTATTGTCTCTATGTAGTCATCATTACCATGCTGTGTAAGAACAGGGGGTGGATTAACAGAGTACTTTAAGTGTAATAGTGGAACCCGCCAGGGGTGTATTATGAGTCCTCTTATATTCGTTATCTTTATAAACTAATTGTCTGTAATGCTCGAAGAGAAAGGAGGTAATGGTATTATTTGTTTCACAAGAACATCCAAACATTGTAGCATTATTCTTTGCTGATGATGTATCAGTGGTATCTGATTCTGTTATCAATCTACAAAGAAAAATAAATGTTTTAGAACAATTTTGTGCAGCAACTGGTATGAAGGTAAACATACAAAACACTAACATAATGGTATTCCGAAGAGGTGGTCCTCTAAAAGGTCACGAGAAATGGTACTTTAAAGGTAAGAAAATTGATGTTGTTAATAATTATAGGTATCTCGGGGTTGTCTTCACACCAACTTTGTCATGGTCTAAGGCACAAAGCTGTTTAGCAGCTCAGGCTAACAAGGCACTAATGTCATTATATAATAACAAAGAAAGCATGGTTTTGTCTCTTGTACTGATGCCTTCAAGTTATTTGATACAGTTATTGTTCCAATTATTTCATAAAGAGCTGATGTTTGGGGTACCCACTATTGTAAAACCATTGAAAGAGTACAAACTAGCTTCTGCAAGCGAATATTAAGGTTACATAAGAACACGTG